GTTCCCACTTACTGCAGATAAGGTCGTTCGAGCCGCCCGTCCAGCGTGCACCTCTGGATTGCGTTTCAGAGCCGAGCACAATAAAGAGTGCAAGCTTCTATGTTATTATTTATTCCACTTACTGCAGATGAGGTCGTTGGAGCCGCCGTCCAGAGTGCACTCCTTCACATCCTGCAGCCCCACCAGGTCTGACGCCTCCCCTCCCACCCCTGCCGCTCCTGCCGCCCCGTTGCCACCTGTCGCCACGCCATTCGTCGCCTTCCCGTCGCTCGCACCCTCAGCAGCATCCTCCATAAAAGCCACTCCGAATTCCGCTACAACGCCATCAGCCTCCTCCAGAGCAGAGAGCATGCCGTCCAGTGACACACAGCACACCGGCACCTGCGGCACCACATACTCCTCCGCCCCCCCTGCTGCTCCCCCTCCCACTCCCTCCCCCGCACTCCCTCCCCACCCTCCTGCTCCTCCCCCTGCAGCAGCTGCCGCTATCCCCTCATTGTCGCTCTCACTCCCGCTCTCCTCCTCCCCGTCCTCCTCCCCGCTGTCGCTGCTGGAGGTCGTGCTCTCATAGCAGCAGTGCGTGCCCCGGTACTTATCTAAAAGCTTAAACGCGTTACTGTTATAGAAATCCGTGAACTGTAGCAACAGGCTCGGGTTCCAAACGCGTACAGCGCCCAGCAGCTCAGCAAGGATGTCATTGTAACGAGATGGCTTCAAACGGGGATGGGAGAGCCCCCTGTAGCCGGATTCAGGCGCCAGCAGGGCAGGGTTATCCGTGCCGGTATCCAGGCACACCAACAGGCACCGGCTCGGGTCCAGGTTCGGCCATGCTGCCGCTGCAGAGGAAAAGAGCGTCGCCACGGCTGTTGCACCAGCTGTAGCAGCAGCAGCTGAGTCAGCATTACTGTTCCCGCCAGTGTGTCCGAGCACGACCTCAGCATCCACGACGAGAACGGCGTCCACGTCCGTCCCCACCTCCGCCCTCTGCTCCGCCCACCGCTGCAGGCGCTGCAGCATGTGCCCGCGGTCCTTGGCACGCAGGTACACCCCCCGCATCTCCTTCAGTCGCCCCCCTGCAGCGGCACCAGAACCAGCAGCAGCAGAGGCGGGGAGCGCAGCAGGCTTGATGAAAACCGCGACGCCGTTCTCCTTGAGCCGCCTGTCCAGCAGATACTGCTGGAAGTCGCGGCACATGTCCGCCAGCTCCGCCATGTCCCCCGCGCTCACCTCCACCTCCGGCCCCCCCGGCATGTGCAGATGCTGGTGCACCACGTCCTGCAGCTGGCTCGGCTCCGCCTGCCCCGCGCCCGCGCCCGCCTTCCCCGCCCCATCCCCCGCCGCTCCCCCTGCGCCCGCCCACCCCTGGCGCTCCTCCGAGTCGCTGGGGAGGCGGGGGAGCGCGAGGGGGCCGTGGGGGTGCGGGTGGTACATGCTGGCGCGCGCGTGGCGCTCCCACTCCGCCACGGTCCCCGCGCCCACCGCGGGCGGGGGGGTGCCCAGCCCCTCCGCCACCATGAACTCCGATATACGCGCTATAAGCAGCGGGACGAGCGCCTGAAAGAGGAGAGGACCGGGGGGGGGGGGGAGCGAAGGGAGCACGGCGCAAAGGAGAGGGGAGAGAGGGATGAGCACTGAGAGGCATTGTAACGGCGTCTTATTCGTCCTATTGTAACAGATAATTTTAATGTTTTTACAGACTGAGGCTATTATCCTGGATGGAATCTTGTGTTGTACATGCGTGGCCGATAGGTTTGTACGCGTTACTAGCGAAGGGAAGCGCGTACCCTCATGACAGAGAGCGAGAGGAGCCACACGTGCATACGTACGCGGTGGTCTGTGCGTTAATGTTTAAGAAGTTAAAGCCCCCACCATCAGAACGGAGGGGAGGGTTGGGGCGAATGCGCTTGCATTCATGGCGGAGAGCGAGGGGATCCACGCTAGCATCAACATACGCGCTTGCTGTAGTACGCGTTAAAAGCTCAAAACGAGGAAACGGAATCTCACCTTCATGGCGGAGAGCGAGGGGAAGAGCATCCCGCGGTCGAGGTGCGCCTGCGGCGTGAGTTGCGCCAGGAATTCCGCGGTCGACAGGAACACGTCATCCGTGATGCTGCTGCACCTCGTTAGGAGCGCCGCCATGCCGATCGGGCCGAACACGTACGCGTTATTGGCCTGCGCGGGGTACATCGTCACCTTCCCGCCGCCCGGCTCCGCGGATTCCGCCACCAGCGGGGGGAACGGGCTCCCGCTCGCGAACACGACGCGCCCGCCGGTGTACTTGAACGCCTCCTTATAAGAACACTCCGCCTTGGACGTGGGGTTCGAGAGCGGGAAGACCACGGGCCGCTCGTTATAGACACCCATCGCTTCAATCACCTCCTTGGAAAACGCGTTCGCCTGAGCCGACACGCCGACGAGCACCGTCGGGCGGAACTCGTGGACGGCTGAGATTAAATCCGGCTGGAACGGAAGGTCGTGCGCGAACGGAATCTTGTGGTCCTGCAGCTCCCCCTTGTCCAACCGCTCCTTGCACACGAGCCCCTTGGAGTCGATAAACAGGCACCGCTGCCGCGCTGCGGCGAGATCCAATCCGCACCGTCGGTTCATCGCCTGCGCGATCAGCTGCGCGATGCCCGTGCCGGCCTCCCCCGCGCCCAGGAACAGAATGCGCTGCTCCTCGAGCGGCCGCCCGGTCACGCGCAGCGCCGAGAGCAGCCCCGCGAGCGTGATGCACGCCGTGCCTTGGATGTCGTCGTTGAAGCAGCACTGCGTGTGCTGGTACCGCTCGAGCAGCCGAAACGCGTTGCAGTTACCAAAGTCCTCGAATTGCAACAGCATGTGCGGCTTTAACGAGCGCGCCGCGGTCATCAGCTCGTCCACGAGCTCGTCGTACTCCGGGCCGCGCAGCCGCTTCTGCCGCAGGCCCTTGTAACCCGGATCCGCTAGTAGCTTCTCGTTATTAGTCCCCACGTCCAGCATCACCGGGAGGGCGCGGCGCGGATCTAACCCCGCCATCGCGGTGTAAAGCAGGATCTTCCCCTCGCTGATCCCCATCCCCCCCGCGCCCTGGTCCCCCAAACCGAGGATCCGCTCCCCGTCCGTCACCACGATCGCGCGGATCCCGCTGTGCGGCCGCGCGGCGCGGAGAAGCTCCAAAAACCGGCCCTTATCCGCGGGAGTGAGGTAGATCCCGTCGGGCGCGATCCCGAGCTCGTGGTAGCGCTGGCAGGCCTCCCCGACCGTCGGCGTGTAGATGTACGGAAGGATCTCCTCGGTGTGGTCCATCAGCAGGCGGAAGAAAAGCTCCTCGTCGGCTTGGCGCGTCGCGCGGAGGTACATGTAGCGGTCGATGTCCTTCGGGAGAGCGGAGAGTGCGGAGAGCACGGCCTGCTCCATGCTCTCGCACTCCGCCTCCTCCTCTGGGGATTCTAGCAACTGATCCGCGTTGACCAGCGCGACTTTTGTCGGGAGCGGTGCGGAGAGCTGGCAGAGCGAGCCGACGTAAGTCGCGGCGGAAGTTGCGGTGCCGTTGCCGTTCTGTGCTCGGCCATTGCCGGCTTTCGCGCTGCCGTTCGTCGCGATCGCCTCTTCGGTTGAATTCGAAGAAGGCTTCACAACCGGGTCGGCAGCAGGGGATCCGTCAGCCGGAGCCATTTCCGACTTTAGAAATGAGGACAACTTAAAAAATGAGGGCAAGGGTGTTTTCAAGCACTCGAATAGCGGACGCGAGTCAGGAGTAACTATTTGTCGCTCGCCTGGATAATGCAGTAAGCAGTTATACCTATTCAACTAAATCCTTCGCTCAGACTGTCTCGGGTAGCTGCGGAACAGAAGTGATCACAATGGCTCAGACTGATCGCACTGGCTTTCTGTTTATGCTCGATCAGAAGGAGGTCTTGAAGGAGAAGCGAGCCTGCTTCAGAGCCACCAGAAAGAAACGCCTTGAGCGAGAAGCAAGGAAGCCGAACGAAGCTGGAGGGCGCTGAAGGAAGCCTCATTCCGGCTGGTCGGATCAGGGTGGGAGGCGCCATGGCTGGGGGATTTCGCAGTGGGGAGAACCGCGAGAAGCCACGGGGGGATGGGGGGAGCGGGGTGGGGTGAGGAGGAGGGAGCTGTAGGGCGTGGGAGCTGGTTTCTCAGCTTCGATCGCACACGGCGTCAGCCAATTGGATTGCGGCGGCTGATGAGCTGGGAGCTGATTTGGCTCGGCGGTGCTGTTGATGCCGAGCCGAACTGACGTGCCGCGGTTACTCTGCCCTGCTCTACCTGACCTGAACGACCTGCTCATGCTTTGGCGCAACTGGTTTCGTGAACGCGATGTGGCAGTGGACGGAGCACGTGTGTGAGGATTTCGCGAAGCTGACTTCGCAAGAAGCAAGCTCAGGTGGAGGAGAAACGAGCGAAACTCTTCGCGACTTGGAAAATTTCGTGTGTATGGCGGGTGGTCGCAGAGGTGGGTGGGAAAGTGCGAGGGATCTCGCCCAATCACAGCCCATGACTGCGAAAGGAGGCCTTTTCGGGAGCCGCGGATTCGTTCGTTCAGGTCAGGTGGGCTGCCCTGACGGCGAATCCGGCCCACACAGCTACTAAGGAAAACGCCAACTCTGCAGATTTAATAACGAAATCGGCGATGGAAAGTGCCCGATTCGCTGGGCTTGGCAAGCTTTCCACGCGTTGCGGATTCGCACGACCTCTGGCCACTCACGATCCATGATTTTTCCGCGTCACCCAAAGTTGCTGCTGAGTCGGTTTGCTGATTGGATGAGATGATCAAGGTGCTTTCACGCCACCCGCCGAGCGTGTTGCTGGCGAGCCGCATCCTCAGGCCTCAGTGTGTTGGGTGGTTTGGTTTGTGGTGTCTGACAATGAGGCACCACACCAACGGCAACATGGAATTTCAAATTGTTACATCAGCCAGTATAATAGTAAAAACTAATGTCTTCTAAATATGCCGGGAACTCGACCATATACAACCTGGATTGGCTAATGGTAGCAATATGAAGGAACCTGCTTCCTTATTTTCCACTATGCAGTGAAATGCCCATGGAAAATTATACTATTAACCACATGAATTCCCTATTCATCTGGGCCTGATTCATCAGAATCTCTATCCCACTCATCATCAAAATCTACTTCATCTTCATCATCCGTATCATCTTCGTCATCATCATCATCCTCATCGCTGAAGCTATCCGGATCATCATCCGACGGCCCCTCCATGATCAAATCCATCAGCTCCTGCGCCGCCTCGTCATCATCCTCCGAATCGCTCCCCAGATACTCCCCCTCCTCCACCTCCCCATTCATCACCCCCCGCCCACCACCACCCCCCCGCACAGCCCTCACCCTAGGCTGCCCAAACCCATCCTCGTCCTCATCCTCGTCCAAATCCTCTGAAAACCCACCGCCAAACAGCTCCTCCTCAAGGCTATCAAACTCCTCCTGCTCATCATCCTCCTCCTCCTCCTCCCCCTCGTCCCCCTCGTCCTCCATCTCCCCTTCATCCTCCCCGTCGAAATCCCCAAGCTCCTCAACCACCCGCTGCCTCCCCACCTCAAACACCCGCGCGACAGAATCTGACTCCCCGTGCTCATCTACAGCCACCACTGCCACATACGAGTCGGTTGGCTCTATGGCCAAGTCCAGCACGCACCGGTCCACGTTCACGGTCGCGATGTCGGTGTACGAGGTGGCGTCGATGGTCTTGAACGCTGAGAAGAGTGGGTGCTTGCGCCGCCGCCCGTGCAGCGCGGCCAGGAGGTCGTCGCTGGTGCGGCGCAGCGTGGCGTAGATGACTTCGCCCGTGGCGTTGAAGGTGATGCATGTCTGGTCGAGAGAGGGTACACTGCGGAGAAGCTTCCTTGTTCGCAGATCCCACACTTCCGAGTTGATTATCACCTGGTGAGGTGGGAATGGGGGGGGGGAGAGGGGAGGGGAGGGACATGATGGAGGAGAGGGAAAGAGAAGAACGTTTCAGAGAGATTTTTGAGTCGACTCAAAAATCGTTTCAGAGAGAGAGAGCAGCGAGGAGGTCGTCCCTGGTGCGGTGCAGTGTGGCGTAGATGACCTCCCCGATAGCGTTGAAGGTGATGGAGCTTAGGTCCAGGGAGGGCACGCTGCGCAGGAGCTTTCGGGTTCGCAGATCCCACACCTCGGGGGATTATGGGGTTGGGTGGGGGAGGGACAGTGTGCAAGAGAAATCTGGGAAGCTTCCTTGTAAGGATGCCATGCTGCCGATCCCATACCTCACACAGAACCGTGCAGTACCCACTGGAACGGAGGTTCCACACACTGCCCTCACAAAAAAACACCCCACACACTCACCTCGTTAAGAGAGGGGTGGAAGCCCCCCTCCCCTGAAATTTGATGTGGCACCCACCGCACAGAAGGAGGTGCTGCTCGTACCGGCATTAACCCAGGCCCAAGCTCAACCCCATATTCGCTCAACCCAAGCTCCCAGAGAGATGAGTTGGCTTTGGAAACTTCTCAGAAACAAACTCCCCACAAAACCAGTCAACCAACCCACTGACCTCGTTGCCAGAGGGGTGGAAGCCCCCGCCCCCATAATCCGAGAACTGGTCGAAGCGGTGCACGGGCTCACTGATCCTGGGGTCCCACAGATACCCGTTCCACAGCAGCAGGTCGTCCAAAGGGGCGAAATGCACTGCCTGCGACCCTAGCGCGCGGCTCACTCCCACCCCTCCTCCACCCATTATAGGAACACCAGCAGCAGCAGCAGCAGCGGCGGCGGCACCAGTAGTAGCGGCTCCTCCTGCCCCTGCGAGCCCCATCCCAAACCCTCCAAACCCTCCGTACCCGCCAAAACCGCCGAAGAGACCGCCAAAACCACCATTTCCACCGCGAGCACCACCCAGACCCCCCCCACCAATCCCACCAAGCGCACCACTCGCACCACCACCACCGGCAGCACCACCCAGAGCAGCAAAGGCATCTGCAGCAATTGGTGCTTCCCTAAGCGTTTCCTGCAGCCTGCCTGTTGCAACATCGTAGAGAAGCACCTCCCTGGACTCCCTCGCCTGCCCCTCCGTCCTCACTGCAGCGATGGTGCGAGCCGAGTGGCTGAACCGGCCCAGGCGGCACGCAGGGAAGGTGTGGAGCGGGCCGAGGGAGAGGTCGCTGGCGTCCCACAGCTTCACTTCTGTGCGTGTTGATGAGAGGAGGAGGCAGGACGCTGCTCCATAGGCTGCCGAAGCTGACGCTGCTGCTGGTGATGCTGCTGCCGCCCCATCTCGTGATCCCTCCCCGCCCCTTCCTCGTCCGCCGCACCCCCCCCGATCATCATCATGGTATCCGGGTCTAGGCGCTGAGAACACAGAAACAACAGGGGACTGGTGGCACGCATAGCCGTCCACCACCACCCCCCCTCCACGTCAAACAGCTTCACCTCCCCCGCCGTCGTCCCCACGGCCAAACACCTCCTGCCCCCCCAACCCCCCCTCCAAACCCCCACCCGCCGCTCCCCCCACTCCCCCCCCCGCCCCTAGCAGGAAACAAGCACTAGTGATCATTACAGCGTCCTCCCTACACGTCCGCCAGGGCCGGAACCGGCTGAAAACCAGCTGCCTATCCAGCCGCTTGCCCTGCCAGCCTCCGTACGAGGGGTGGCGTTGGCGGGCGGAGAGGCGGCGGGTGATGCTGAAAGGGGCGTCGAGGGAACGGAGAGGCTCGGGGCAGGTGTGCGGGTGGAGGAGGGAGAGCGGGGGGAGGGTGGTGATGGGCGCGGGGCATTGCCGGTGCTGCTGCTTTAGCCAGGAGGTGACTATGCCGTCTAAAGTTGGGGGAGGTACTGCTTGGGAAGGTACTACTGTTGGTGCTGGTGCTGGTGCGGGTGCTGCTGCTCCTACTGTTCCTGTCACTGCTGCTGCTGTTGCTACAGTTGCTGGTGCTGGTGCTGGTGCTGCTGGAATTGCTGCTGACGTGGCTGGGGCAACTGCCAGGTTCTGACTGTCCTCTGCTGCCCCAGCACCACCTGAACTTCCACCAGAACCCACAACTGGCTTTTCTGACACCGCAGCAGTACTATCAGAGGCATCTGCAGCATCAGGAGACGTGCGAGCATCAGGCAACGACGAATGTGCAACAGCTGGGTTTTCCTTGTGAACAACCGGCCCTTCTGAGTCAAGACCTTCTCCATGTGCAACAGCTGCAGCAGCTGCAGCAGCTGTGGCAGTGCCAGCCCCCATAGGAACCGACAAAGGCACAGCAAGGCTGGCAGGAGGGAGAGGCGGGAGGAGAGTGGAGGGTCGTTTGGCCGGGGGCGAGACGAGCAGACCTGCTGCAGAGGCAGAGCCTTCCATGTACCCTCGCTTCCTGCCAGATAGCCGCCTCACTGCAGGTGCTGGTGTGCTTGTCGTGCTTTCTCTCTCCCTCTCCCCACTGCTGCTGCTGCTGCCCCCCTCTCCTCCCGCCCTTGTTCCCCCTCTCCCAACTAATGCTTCTCCCGCTTCTCCCCTGCCGCCTGCAGCCAGGGCTTCCCCGCCCTGCTTCTCCCCCCCGCCCTGCTCCTCATGCTCCCCCTCCTCCCCCTTGCCCTCCCCCTTGCCCTCCCCCTTGCCTCTAGCCCAATCTGCAAGCGTGCTGCCAAGTGATAGTCGCCTCTTCAGCTGCCCTTCCTCCTCCTTTCCGTTTCCACTCCCACTCCCACTCGCACCACTTCTATCCATTCCCACCCCTCTCTGCCGACCCACACTCCTCTCCCCTCCCTCCGCTCCCTTCTCCCCTCCCTCCCCTGCCTTCTCCCCCCTCCCCCACCTCCCCTCACCATTTCTCCCTAGCGAGCAGAACCATCCAGCCTTCCCCTTCGGCCAACTCAGCCCCCCTGCTCCGTCGGCAGTCAATCCAGCGGCGCCACCTGGCGCTGCTGCTGATGCTGGAACTGATGTGCCAGCTGGCGTGGATGGAGCACCAGGAGTGCCAGCTGGCACTGCTGATGCTGACGTAGGAGGAGGAGGAGGAGGAGGAGGAGGAGGCAGGGTGCGGGGGAGGTTGCGACTCGGAGAAACCTCCGAGGGAGATACAGAGGAGGATGGGAGGGAGGAGGAGGAAGGGGGGGTGGGGACGAGGGGGTTGATGCTTGCTTCGGCAAGTAGCTGGTTCGCTGACTGGTGCAGGCCTTCGGACACCAGATGGGCGTGTATCAGTTGAAGGAGCTCGCTGTAAGGGGGATGGGGAGAGACAACGATACACTCTGGTTATTTGAAACACGGAAAACACCAGCACACAACCAAATTAGCTAAATAGTGATAACAATTTCGACTACCTTTGACCGTATCCCACCTGGGAGGGGTAGCTGACGAGAGTGGCAGCAGCAATGGCAGCTCGCTCTAATTGATTGGGAGCGGGCGCTGATGCACTGGCGACTGCTACAGTCGTGGTGAGCTGGAGCACGCAGGGAGGTGGGGGTCGGATCTCACCTGGGGGGGTAGCTGATGGGAGTGGCGGCAGCAATAGCAGCTCGCTCCAGCCTCTTGAGAGTGGGCGCTGTTGCGTCTGTGGCTGCTGCTGTTGTGGCCTTGCCCGCACTTGTAGTGAGCTGGGTGCGAGAAAGGGTGGAGGCAAGAGGAAGAGAAAGGAAGGGGGAGGGAGAGAAGAGAGAAGAGGGGTGAGAAACAAGACCGGACATGGCGAAAGAACAAGACACAGATGACGTGTGATGGTTGGTGCCCCGCACCGCACGTACCGAGATTAGCTCGAGAGCTGATTGCTGGAATTCATGCAGCCATCGAGCATGCAGCGCATGCAACCCCATGGCATTAGACCCCCGGTGGTGATGGTGATGGTGCTGGTGCTGATGCTGGTGCAGCTGCTGCTGCTGCTGGTGATGGTGATGCTGCACGGACGCAGGATAAGACGACGAAGACAACCCGGCCGACACGTCCCGCAGAAGATCCGACAGCTGCCGCCCGAGCTGCAGCTTTGTCAGGATATGCGTCAGTGCAGGATCCCTTGCCAAACCCAGCAGAACCCTACAAGCCAGCGCCCTAATACAATCTGCAGAGGGGGGAGGGAGGGGCGGTTTGCAGTGTAGAAGTTGCAGCAGCACGCGGATGCCGTTGCTGGCTCGGAGGGCGTCTCTGGCCTGCCTGTAGCCTTGCTCCATGTATGCTGCTAGGCCTGTGCCTCCCAGGCCTAGGCCTAGTGGCTGCATTCTGCGGTCCTGAGGGGTTAAGGGCGGTGCTGTGGCAGCTGCAGGTGTTGCTGCTGTTGCTGGTGTTGCGGGTGTGACCGGTGCTGCTGGTGTCGCTGGAGGTGCTGCTGTCGCTGCTGCTGCTGCTGGTGTTGAACGCACGGGAGTGGAAAATACGTCCTGCTGTTCTTGCTGCTGTTGGTGCTGCTGCTGCTGCTGCTGCTGCTGCTGCTGCTGCTGCTGCTGCTGCTGCTGCTGCTGCTGCTGCTGCTGCTGCTGCGCCCCTGCCTCAGCCCCTTCTGTAATGCTTGGCAGTACACGGTTTCCTGTCGGGGTAGCAATAGTAGCCCCCCCTGCACCAACACCAGCAGCAGCAGCAGCAGCAGCAGGACCATTAGCACCACCAGCGGCAGCACCACCACTACTACCGCCACCAGCAGCACCCGAGTGCATGGCAGTCCGGCTACCAGCTGCACAGTAAGTGGGGAATGGGCAGACGAGGTTGACAACAACGAGCAGTGCGATCTGCATGACCTCAGGGTCCGCCAGGAGGGCACCGCTGGCGGCATCCAGCAGCACTGCCATGCCGGAGCGATGCGACGCCACCCGCGCTGACAGCACGTGGCGGTGGGTGAAGGGCGCGAGGGTGAGCACGTGCAGCACGCCCAGGGCATGCTCTGCTAGCTCCCCCGTGGTTCGTTCCCCGGGCGGCATCTGTGGTCGAAAGACAGGGAAGTGGCGGGATTGGGAAGAGAGGGGAGGTGAGTCAATGGCCAGGGAGGGCGAGGATGAGCGCATGCAGCACGCCCAGGGCGTGCTCTGCTAGCTCCCCCGTGGTGCGCTCGCCAGGAAGGCATCAGTGGTAACTACTACCAAGACAGGGAGGAAGGGGGAAGTGGAGATGGGAATGGGGGCAGGGAGTCATAGAGCGATGTGAGGGCTTCTATCCGACACCATCAGAGCCTCCGTCAATCCCATCCCTAGACCCGCCGAATGCCCGACTTTTGAGGCGACTTTTGAGGCGACTTTTGAGGCGCCTCAAAAGCCATGACAGCCTACGTCAACCCCATCCCTAGACCCGCCGAATGCCCGAAACCCTAGCGAAGACCCACCCACCTGGCATAGTTCCAGCATCACATCCACAGCCCCCTCTTCCACGAGCCTCTCAGCGGCGCCCCATCGGCTGCGCACAAACGCCTGGGCCAGGCGCCTGTCCGACACCATGAGAGCCTCCATGCAACCCGAACCCTAGACCCGCCCAAAGCCGTAGCCCTAAATCACACCCTGGGCCCACATACCTGGCATAGCTCCAGCATCACGTCAACTGCCCCTTCCTCCACAAGCCTCTCAGCGGCGCCCCATCGGCTGCGCACAAACGCCTGGGCTAACCTCCTATCCGACACCATGAGAGCCTCCATTAACCCCTCCACTGCCTGTGCGCTCGAATCCACTGCCCTGGTCAAACTCCTGCTGCTGCTGCTCGACCCGGCTGCTGCTGCGCGCGATGCTGCTGGTGCCAGGGTGTTAGGAGCAGCTGGGGTGGATGGAAGGGCGGAAGCAGCAGCAGAGGCGGCAGCAGGAGCAGGCGAAGCAGCAGCAGAGGCGGCAGCAGGAGCAGGCGAAGCAGCAGCAGAGGCGGCAGCAGGAGCAGGCGAAGCAGCAGCAGTAGCAGCAGCAGGAGCAGCAGGGGGAGGGAGAGGGGGAGCAGGGCGGTGGGTGCGGTGGCGGGAGGAGAGGGAGGATGCACCGCCAGAGGCAGAGTGCAGCACCTCTAGATGCAGCACGAGGTGCACTCGCATGTACTGCCTTAAAGCAATGCACGTGTTGTGCGCCACCTGCCGGCCCGCTGGGGTCAGCACCTCCGATGACATCGTGCTGGCACCACCAGGAGGACCCAGTAGTAGGGTTGCTGCTGTACCTGCTACTGCTGCTGCTGCTGCTGCTCCTGCCCCCCCTCCTACCCCTCCTGCTGGTTCTGCCTCTCCCCCAGCAGTAGCAGCACCAGGGCGCAGTCCACCCCCAATCGGAAAATGCACTCCACCGCCTAGAGGGAATGGCAACCTCAAGCCTGTCCCTCCCAGAGCACCAGAAGCACCTGCACCGTTGTCCCCCCCCCCTGCTCTTCCCCCTCTGTCCAACCCAATCTCCCCCGTTCCAGCCCCACCCCCTGTGCTCCTCCTCCCCTCCACCTGCCCCTCCTGTCCCCCCTGCCCCACCCACCCCCCCTGTCCCCGCACCTGCTCCCCCCAGCCCCCTCCCCCACCGCCCCCCGACCTCAGCAGCGCCGCGTTTTTCAGCAGGGCGAGGAGGGCAGAGAGCCCCCCCTGGGCGTCGAACTCAAGGAGGATGCGCGGGAAGGCGAGCGAGGCGGCGAAGAAGAGCGCCGTGTTGCGGCGCGCGTGGTCCAGCGGGGAGAGGAGCAGGTGCAGAGCCGCGGAGATGAGGCCGCGGATGATGGGCTGCGGGAGGGAAGATACACGCTCCATGACACTCTGGGGGGGAGAGGGGGGGAGAAGGAGGGGGGGAAAGAGTAGGTAAAGAGCAGCTGAAACGAGGCGGGTCCCCCCTGGGCGTCGAGCTCGAGGAGGATGCGCGGGAAGGCGAGCGAGGCGGCGAAGAAGAGCGCCGTGTTGCGACGTGCGTGGTCCAGCCGGGAGAGGAGCAGGTGCAGAGCCGCGGAGATGAGGCCGCGAATGATGGGCTGCGGGAAGGAAGATACACGCTCCATGACACTCTGGGGGGGAGAGGGGGGGAGAAGGAGGGGGGGAAAGAGTAGGTAAAGAGCGGCTGAAACGAGGCGGGTCCCCCCTGCGGGGGAACTCGAGGAGGATGGTGGGAATGCGAGCGAGGCCGCGAAGAAGAGTGCAGTGTTGCGGCGCGCGTGGTCCAGCGGGGAGAGGAGTAACAAGCGGGCAGAGCGGCTGAGATGAGCGCGCGGACGATGGGCTGGGGGAGGGAAGAGACATGCTCCATGACACTCTGGGGGGGGTGGGTGGGGGGGGAAGATGGGAGGGGAAGGGGGTTGGGTAACAGAGGGGTGGGAGGGGAGGGGAGGAGGAGGGGAAGAGGGAAGCGGCGAGAGGAGCAGGTGCAGAGAGGCGGAGATGAGAGCCCAGATGAAGGGCTGGGGAGGATGTGGGCCATGCCTGGGGACGGGGGGAAATGAGCTGTGGCAAGACACAGATGGAGAAACAGAAATGGGAAGAGCTGTCTCTAGGGAGGAGAGCGGTGGGGAGAGAAAAACACGTCTCCATGGTGGGCAAACAGTTACCTGGATAGAGGCGAGGGCGAAGAACGCGACAGCAAGGCCGGGGAGCGTGTGGGGCACGCGGGGGAGCGAGAGCAGCAGCTGCACGCCGCCCCGGTCCACAAAGAGCGTGGCGAACTTGCGGTGAGCTGTGAGCGCGCACACCAGCTTCAGCACGTCCGCTAGCAGCAGCACGCTCATGGGCCCGCTGCACGGCGCTGCTGCACCTGCCGTGGAGTCTCCAGCGCCAGATAAAACACCAGAAGCACTGCCACCCACACCGTCCGCACCCGAAGCAACAGCTGCACCAGTACCGGTTGCCCCAGCAGCAGCAGCAGCAGGGGCAGCAGCGGCAGCAGGGAGGGCCGCCCCGCGTCTGAGCAGCGCGAGGCAGAAGTCGACGCCCCTTTCGTGCAGCACGGGCCCCAGCACCTCCATGTACTCGCCCAGCGCCGCCAGCGTCTGCACCGCGTACCACTCCCTCAACTGCGCCAGCTGCGCGCGGGTGAGCTGCCAGGCGGGGCGAGCGGGAACGGAGATGGGGGAGGGGAGCGAGCGTGGTGGGGATGTGGTGTGTTCCTGTGATGCTCCTGGGGTTGACTGGGTGGTTCTTCCAGAGGGTTCCCTGGCTGCCTCTGTTTCTGTTTCGGTTTCTGGTGCGGCAATGGTTTCAGTGCCAGCTGCTGCTGCCCCTGCTGCTGCAGAGGAAGTGGCAGCTGCGGAGCCTGACCCTGGAGCCTTGCCCTTGCTTCCACTCACTGCCTGTGCCGCTTGAGTCACAGCATCAGCAGCGCTCCTAGCAGCAGCAGCCACTGCCTCGTCCCCTCCCCCCCCCTCCAGGGCGTCAGCCGCAGCCTGCTTGACGGACTCTGCTGCTGCCTCTACCGCTGCAGCCACCACATCAGCTGGAGCATTCGCTGCCTCTGCCTCCATTCTCGCTGACTCCCATGCTGCCGCTACCGCCTCTGTTATGTCCACAGACCCCACCTTTACAGATGCCGGAGGGGGGAGGGAGCTCTCAGCCGCCATAGAACCCTTAACCCCGGAACCCCCAGACCCAGAACCCCCAGCCCCGAAACCTCCAACCCCTAACCCCTCAACCTCGGACCCGCCAGCTCCAGCAGCTGAAGCCTGTTTCCCCTTCCCTGCGCTCTGCTCTATCTTACTTCCCTTCAGCCCGGCCTTTCTACCTGCGCCTGCCCCTCCCCCTCGTCCTCTGCTCCCCAGGTCCTCTCTGCCCCCTTCTGTTGTCATCCCTGCTGCGTCTTTCAGCTTCCCAAGCGGGGAAAGGGGGCTGGGTGCAGCTTTTGCCGGAGTGGCCATTACCACATCCGCTTGTGCTGCGGCAATTTCACTCGCCCCCTCACCTAAAGCCTCTGTTTTCCCCCTCTCCTCTGCTGCTCTCGCCTCTCCAACGCCCCCTGCTGCTGCCGCTCCAGCAATCTGAGCCGCTGCCACAGCAGCAGCAGCGGTAGCAGCCGTACTACTCTCCCCTCTGCTGCCACCCCCACGCAACTTGCTCGCTCGGCTCACAGGCGTTCCCATAGTCCCTGCCCCCGACACCCCCACTCCGCCTCCTCCTCCTCCCCCCTCGCCTCTTCCCCCCCCTGCGCCTGGAGCAGCAGCGCGCCCCAGCACCCGCTTGCGGAGGAGGCGGGCGAGGTGGGGGACGAGGCCCGTGCGCACCACCTGCTCCACCGCCGCCTCGTTGCTGGGGGGGAGGGGGAGAAGGGCAGAAAAGTAGGAGAGTAGTAAGGCGAGCGGTACAAGCTACGTCAGTCCTACGCAGGAGATGCCGGGAGGGACTTACGAGGTGAGCGCCACAGCAACGAGGCCAGTGGAGAACGTTCTCAGCATGTCAGTCGCCAGCACGGACGACGCTCTCGCCCTCACACCCACACCACTGGCAGCAGAACCACCTGCAGCAGCACCGCCAGAACCAGCAGTACCACCGCCGCCAGTGCCACCAGCAGCAGCAGCAGCTCCTCCGCCTCCCCCTCGATCACCTCCCGGACCCTCCTCCCCTGCGTCCTCCTCTTCCTCTTCTTCCTCCTCCTCCTCCTGCCCACCGCCAGCGCCACCCGCACCAGAAGCGGCAGTGGCAGTGGTCGCGGTGGTAGCCAGCGCGGGGGGAGGAGCTGTGCGCGTGGAGAGGGCGGCCCACGCAATGACCCGTTCCAGAATCCCCTCCTCGAAGACTCCGCGGTACTGAGAGTCCAGTGGGGTGGGGGCGGGTGGTGGTGGGGGGACGGGGTGAGGGGGGGGGGGGGGGGGGGGGGGGTAGGAAATGCCTCGTTCCAGAGGTCGCTAATCGAGCACTCCGCGGCACTGCGAGTCCAGCCATGGGGAGAAGATGGCGGAGCAAGAGAAGGTACATGTGCAGAAGCACATATACGGGATGGGAAAAGGGGAGAAAGGGGGGATAGGGGAGAAAGGGGGGATAGGGGAGAAAGGGGGGATAGGGGAGAGAGGGGGGATAGGGGAGAGGGGTGTAAGGGGAGGACGAGGTCAGCGTAGGGAGAGGAGCATGGGGACGAGATTGGGAGGACGCGGAATGGTCCAAAAAATCGGAAACGCTGGCAACGTGCCACGAAGCTTGTAGCCTAAGCAACTCAGCGCAAGGCTTTTCAGACGATGGTTGCAGCACAAAGGCTTGTATCACAAAGGCTTGTAGCCCAAACGCTTGTAGCACTGTGAAACGTAACGTACCACGAAGCTCATGGCACACGCGAGCAGCAGGCGAGCACCCGCTGCTCGCTCCTCCTGCGACCGCCATGACTGCAGCAGCAGCTTCGAAGTCAGCAGCTCGTATAGATCGTCGTCCTCCTGTCGGACGAGGGGGGAAAGGGGGGAAGGGGGGGAAGGGGGTTGGGGGAAGGAGGGGGACGGCAGGGGAGTGGGGAAAGAATGAGGCGACAGCGCAATACGGCGGTCAGAGAGTCTATTTTTGAGGCGCCTGAAAAAAAGAATGAGGTGACAGCGCAAAACGGCGGTCAGAGAGCAGCAGCTTGGACGTCAGCAGCTCGAACAGATCGTCGTCCTCCTGTCGGACGAGAAGGAGAAGGGGGGTCGGGGGAAAGAGACATTTCAAAACAGTACGAAACGGCGTTTGAAAAACAGAACGACACAGCGTGACCGGGGGGGGGGGTTGGGAGGAAAGGGTTAGACGCGTGACTAGGGACGTACGCGCAGTGAGCTGACGATTCTCCCGATAGTGTAAGAGGCTCGAAGATTCGACGAGGAGAAACCCGCTTGCTGCTGATACCTGAGGTCGAAACACGGAACCGGAATACGTATCAGGGGCAAGTATGAAAAGCAGTTAATGACGGTCAGAAGCTGAAGAATTTCGGAATATCCGTGTAGAGGAGCAAGCTTGAAACATCACTGTCGAAACGGCGAAAATTAAACGGTGAAGTCTCGGTGCATTATTGTCTAAGTCTCTCACCATTGCTCCTCATCTTCGATAATCGCGGCGAGCCGATGCAAGAGACTCGTCTCGGGGTGATTCCCGCCAGCCACGATCTGCAGCACTAGCTCCCTCACTCTATTCAGCACTAACTCCGACGGCTCTCGTGGAGTCGCTGCGACCGACGGAACAGCTGACGTCGCCATGGCTGCTGATTGATCGACTCAAAGCTGATTAATAAACTCAAGGCTGGTTGAGAGCTTTAGCCCTGATGGGTAATTGGTGTCCCGAAAGTGCGACTACGGGGGTCCTCGGTTAGCGCTCCAAGCTGAATTTCAACCGTATCGCATCAGTCAGCTGGTAATAGCGGGCTGAGGAGCCTGTTCTGGCGTTTCGTACCGAAACCGACAGAAACTGATAAGCGAGTTTCGCGACATAACGCGATCAGTGCTCGGTCTGAGTTTGCGCTTCGCTCATGTCCAATAAAGGACCATCAAGACGACTAAGGGCGTTATCCTTATTCGTCGGTCTTAGCAAAAAACGACGAAGCCAGACAGGAACGACGAGTCGGGCTATCTCCGGTTCCTAGTCACAAGCCTCCTATTTTCAACTGAAGCCTAAAACTTGAACCACTTCGGGTAAAATGGTTTACTCGTTGCCATGGCGGCCTTGCAGGGATTCTTCTAGATCCGAGAAAGCGGAAATTCCCCTCTTCATGTTCCCCCCCCCCAGGTCCTGACGGCTCCCCCCCGACAGGGCAGTCCTAGGAGCTCCCGCGCTTTCTCCCCATGTCGGGAAAACATGGCGGAGTGGCGGGGGGTTTGGCTTGGGGAGTGGGATGCGGGGGGACAGGCCTGTGGTTTGTTTGCGGAGATCGCAGAGCGAGATTTCGCGAGCGTCTGCTTCATGTCTCATCGCTGGGCCAATCACGACCACGGGTCGATCGCCAAAAACGGATCATGCGAGCACAACACTGCAGGTCAAAGCACACTATCAAATACACGACTCCTACAGAAAATATTCAAGGATTTTCAAATACGTAGTTATCCATTCAAAGTGTTGAAGCAACATTGTGCCATTTGTCAACCGCATGTGAAACTGGTATTGAAGTAACTGTCGACGAGTATGCTTCAACTGGGGACGAGAGACAATAGAGGCGAGATGGAAAGGGGTGCATCCACACACGGCGGATGCACATGATCCCCAATTCCCAGTGCAGAGAATAAGGGAAATGTGGAGTGGAGTGATTGGAATGGGAGCTGAGCCACACGCAACTGGGGGGCTAAGAGGGGTGAGTGAGACCCTGAGTGTGGACTGGAGTGGGGAGAGTGGTGGGAAGAAATTGAGGGTTGAAGATGGGTGAAGAGAGAGTGAGAGAAAAGGGGGGGGGAAGGGAGAAATGTGAGAAGAGGGAGGTGGGGAAGAGAGTGGCGTGAGGCGCTGAGGGGTCGAGGGATGTGAACAAGAGAAAAGCTCGCGATTGCCTGTCGACACGGACAGCCTACAGAAACGCTAACTGCTTATTGAACTGTATGGAAGTAAGGGAGAATGTGAGGATGCAGGAGAGAATAGGGATTGTTCCTTCAGGCTAGCAGTCAGATTGACCGAGACAGGCTGACGAATGAATGACCTCTCCAGGGTAAACTTGACGCCTCTGTGAAGCGTTTTTCTCAGACGCAAGAATATCAGTGTGCGGGTTGGAAAGCGCTTTAGCGAGATATCAGTGTAGACTGGTAACAATAAAGGGAAACCGAGGGTACAATGGGATTCCACGACGCAAATACGAGAAGGAAGAACCAGCAATGGCTGCACTCAGCTACAACGCGTCTTAAACCCTGCACCTGGCGTGTCTAAGATTAAGCGGTCAGGACCTTAACCTCCTCGTTCTCAAACCGCCAGACGGAAAGAACCACCGGCTATGGACCGTAGTCCTTAGTTCCACCCTAAGAGTCGACACGTAAGCCAGGCTTCCTGTCGCACACTACGTCCACCGAGGCGCCTTATAACGAGTCTAAGACGAAGCATCCTGAGCCTTCTCGTCCTCCTCTAGGCGCCAGACCGGGGGAGCCTCGGGCAACGGCCCGTAGTCCTTGGTTCCGCCGCGCTTCCTGTCCCACACCGCGTGCTTCTTCGGCCGCGTCGCCACGTGGCGACCCGTCGCCTTCTTGTTCACGTGGTGCGCCGACTCCACGTTTAGCCGCCGCGAAGATACCGGCGCGGTCGACGGCGAGGCGATCACAGCAGGGCACGTGGCCACGGAGGCGGCGAAAGATAGGGAGGCCATGGTGGGTGTGGGGGGTTGGCCGAGATAGCAGGGGGTGGAGCAGCAGCAACGAAATCCACAGAGCTCGCTGGGACGGGCGATTGAAAGCTGCGAACCATGAGATTGTCGCGCAGGCTGGGGGGAAAAAGCCAGGTTGGGGGGAAAGTTGGGAGAGAAATGGGCGGGTGGGGGAAAGAACGGATGGGGGTGATGTGGCGTGTAAAGCGGAAGCACCAGTGAGCGCAGCTGCGCAAAGGGCTAGGCGAAAGGGCGGGTGCCGTGGATGGGTCGACGTGGCACCATGGCTTGGGCTCAATGCCACATTGAAAGTTCACTGTTAGCTATTAGGAAACAGACTATTTATGGCACGGAAGAACCATAATCAAATCATCTGCTTCAAACAAATTGAGGTTCATATGAAGAAATTCTACAAGATAACAGGCAATAAAGAACAGAGAAGAGCTATACAAGAGGCTAAGAGCCTTAGAGCTACCAGTACATGTCACGGTGCAGTTGGAGAAACACTCCAACTTCGACAAACTCAGGCAGTACAAATATTCTAGGACTTGTTCTTGGCGTGCTTGATAAGCCAGTCAATAACGACATCAATGTTAGTCGTGTGCTTGCAGGAGATGCTGTAGCAGCACACTTCCCTGCCCTGCATCACCTGGTTCAATCCCCTGCACCACCACACAGACAAAAAGCTTATATTGAGGAAATTGTAGGAAGCGGAATGCCAATGCAGGAGAGCTCTGGGATATACCGATGAGCCTAACAGGACACCAGGAAAGAAAAACAGGAAACGGGAGAAAAAAAAATTATAAAGTAAGGCACTCACATAGCCTCAATAAGCGCATCCCTGGAGATGGCTTCTGCCTTGTCGCACTTGTTCCCCAGCAGCAGCAGCGGGATGCCGGCGAGAGAGGGTTTGCTGAGCAGCTCATGCAGCTCTCTGCGCGACACAGGGATGTTGTCATGGTCCGATGCATCCACCACATAGCTGAGGGAAATAAAAGGAAGGGGAGGGGGGAGAAAGGGGGGACGAAGGAGTGTAAGGTGCAAGTTGTAAGAGTACGAGTAATAGAAGAATCAGATCTCTGCAGGACGCTGGGACCTTGTCATGGTCCAATGCATCCACTGCATAGCTGGGATGGGGGAGATGGTGTGGTGTGTGTGGGGGGGGGGGGGAAGAGAGAGGAATGCAAGTTGTGGTGTATAAGTGATCGATGGAAAGACGCAGCACTCCGCACGATACAGGGATGTTGTGTTGGTCCGATGAGAGGGGTGGGGATACGCGATGAGGGAGAGGGAGAGGGGGAGGGGGAGGGGGGGGAGGGAGAGGGGGGGGGGGAGGGGGAGGGGAGGGGGAGGGGGAGGGGAGGGGGAGGGGGGGGGAGGGGGAGGGGGAGGGGGAGGGGGAGGGGGAGGGGGAGGGGGGGGGAGGGGGAGGGGAGGGGAGGGGGAGGGGGAGGGGGGGGAGGGGGAGGGGAGGGGGAGGGGAAGGGGGGGGAGGGGAGGGGGAGGGGGAGGGGGAGGGGAAGGGGGAGGAGGGGGGGAGGGGGAGGGGAGGGGGAGGGGGAGGGGGAGGTGGAGGGGGAGGTGGAGGGGAGGGAGAAGGGGAGGGGGAGGGGGAGGGGGAGGGGGAGGGGAAGGGGGAGGGCGAGGGAGAGGGAGAGGGAGAGGGAGAGGGAGATGGCCGCGGTTTGGTGCTTACACGATGGCGGACACGCCTCGGCAGTATCTCTCCCACATGCTTCTGAATCTCGGTTGCCCGCCCAGATCCCACAGCTTGATGCTCACATTCCCTTTCGTCACCTTGCGCATGTTAAAGCCCACCTGGAACGAAACAGAGCCAGGGAGAGGGGAGGATGAGAGCCCCGGCGGACCAAGAGGAAGGGGAACGTGACAGGGGACAAGCAACAGGCGTGTTTGATGGGTGTTGGCGGAACGGGGTGGGGTATGAAAGGAGCGAAATGATGATGTATGGAGCAACGTGGTGCGGTGCGGTGCGATGCAGCGAGGCATAGTGCGGTGTGCAGAATGGCATGGCATGGCATGGCATGGCATGGCATGTCATACCGTGGGGATCATGTCTTCATTGAAGCCGCCAGTCTGCACAGACAAAAGGCAAGGGAGCACATGCCACAGCTCATCAGCCCATCAGCCCATCAGCCCATCAGCCCATCAGCCCATCAGCCCATCAGCCCATCAGCCCATCAGCCCATCAGCCCATCAGCCCATCAGCCCATCAGCCCAGCAGCCCATCAGCCCATCAGCCCATCAGCCCAGCAGCCCATCAGCCCATCAGCCCAGCAGCCCATCAGCCCATCAGCCCATCAGCCCAGCAGCCCATCAGCCCATCAGCCCATCAGCCCAGCAGCCCATCAGCCCATCAGCCCATCAGCCCATCAGCCCATCAGCCCATCAGCCCATCAGCCCAGCAGCCCATCAGCCCATCAGCCCATCAGCCCATCAGCCCATCAGCGCATCAGCCCACAATCCATGAGACCAACAGCCCATCAGAGGGAGACGGAACACGTGCACACAACATTTGGCAGGACGGTCAGCAGATCACAATGGATGGATACAGCGGCGTGACAGGCGACGACGTCAGCGACAGGCGACGAGACTGGATCGATAGGTGCGCGCAGGTAGATCTGGTCGTGTCAATCGGAATGCGCGGCTCTTGCATCGTCGGCTCACCATGATCTGAAAGGCCCAGCCGGCGAATGTAAGTCTGAACGGCATACAGACTTACAGCGATGACGTGACGTTGACGAGCGACGTCTTTCCCGCGTGTTGATTGATCAACCTGCTAGCGATTACTGCGATGATCGACTGACTGCGACGAGCGACAGACTGCGACGAGCGACTGACAGCGACGAGCAGGCCTGCTACGGACTTACAGCGATGACGTTGACGAGCGACGTCTTGCCCGCGTTCTGAAGGCCGATGAGCGAGAGCTCCATCTCCTGCTGGAAGAAGAGACTGCGCCGCGACGCACATGATAGGGGATCGGGGATCGGGGATAGGGGATAGGGGATAGGGGGGAAACGGGAGACACGAGATGAGTTTTGAGTCTAGTTTTGAGTCGACTCAAACGTCACCAGGAAGGGACACACGGGAAGGAGGCAGCAGAGGGAATGCACGAGATGACTTTTGAGACACGAGACTCAAACGTCACCTCCTCGCACGTGATAGGGGATAGGGAGGAAACGGGAGACGCGAGACGGAGTATGGCTTCAGGAGTGAGAGAGAATCAGAAGCGAGAGGTCCATCTCCTGCTGGAAGAAGAGACTGCGACGGAGGACACGTGATACGGGACACGGGGTAGGGGAGCGGGACACGGGGTAGGGGGAGCGGGACACGGGGTAGGGGGAGCGGGACACGGGGTAGGGGGAGCGGGACACGGGGTAGGGGGGGCGGGACACGGGGTAGGGGGAGCGGGACACATGGAACGGAGCATGCCTAAAAGAGCGAGAGAGGATGACTCGCGAGAGCTTCATCTCCTGCTGGACACACATGGTACGGGATAGGGGGGAATCGATTTTTGAGGCGCCTCAAAGATAGGGGGAATCGATTTTTGAGGCGCCTCAAAGATAGGGGGGAATCGATTTTTGAGGCGCCTCAAAGATAGGGGCGAATCGATTTTTGAGGCGCCTCAAAGATAGGGGCGAATCGATTTTTGAGGCGCCTCAAAGATAGGGGGGAATCGATTTTTGAGGCGCCTCAAGGATAGGGGGGAATCGATTTTTGAGGCGCCTCAAGGATAGGGGGGAATCGATTTTTGAGGCGCCTCAAAGATAGGGGGGAATCGATGTTTGAGGCGCCTCAAAGATAGGGGGGAATCGATGTTTGAGGCGCCTCAAAGATAGGGGGGAATCGATGTTTGAGGCGCCTCAAAGATAGGGGGGAATCGATGTTTGAGGCGCCTCAAAGATAGGGGGGAATCGATGTTTGAGGCGCCTCAAAGATAGGGGGGAATCGATTCTTGAGGCGCCTCAAAGATAGGGGGGAATAGATGTTTGAGGCACCTCAAAGATAGGGGGGAATCGATTCTTGAGGCGCCTCAAAGATAGGGGGGAATCGATTCTTGAGGCGCCTCAAAGATAGGGGGGAATCGATAAATTGCACACATGGTACGGGATAGGGAGGAATCGGAACACAGGAGACGGGGAATGATTTTTGGAGTGCGAGAGGAAAATACGCGAGAGCTCCATCTCCTGCTGAAAGAACAGACTGCGCCGCGACGCACATGACACGGAGATAGCAGGTAAGCGGGAGGCACGAGAGGGGGAGCACGGCCTCAGGAGTGAGAGGAGTGAGGGAGGACACATGTGACTGCGGAGAGCTCCACTTCGGAGAGCTCCACAGAATGCTTTGCGACGCGAGCGATGCGGGACCGGAGGTGCGGCACATCAGCGTACGGACATGAGGTACGGTACAGGGGACACATGAAACGGAGTACGGCTTGGACCGTGAGAGATGATGATACGCGAGACGTGTCATGCCCTGCTGGACGAACGGAAGCGTGCTGGACCCGGGATACGGGAGAGCGCGCGGCGTAAGGGCGTCAATGGGCGAAGTGCTAATGCCACCAGGATAATAAAAGGTCACAGTACCGATGCTCTGACGAGATCTCGGAACGGCGACGCAAACAGCACACAAGGTCGAGGCTCGGACACGCCGAAGCCGCCGAGCCGAACGTACCTAAAGCGCCATCATCGTGCCGACTGGACGGGATCTAGGACCCGACCTAAAAGCATAGTGCGAGCGAACCGAACGTACCTGCGTAACCAATTAAGAACGTATTCCCATAGCGCCATCATCGTGCCGGCTTGACGGGATCCGGAAACCGACCTAAAAGCCTAGTAAGAGCGACGAGAAGGAGGCCAAGTTTAGAGACCTCTCAGAACTTGACGAGATTTAGGAACCGGCCTGAAAGGCGTAGTAAGAGCAACGAGAAGGACACGACGCCTGGTAGAAACGAGGAGATGAAGCCGGCCCTGCTAGAAGTGAAAAGGAGCGAAGCCGACCTAAGGAGGAAAGCGTCAACACAGACGAGGGAAGCGACGAGTTAGGATGAAAAAAGAGGATGACCTAGGATGAAGAGTTGGTGACAGACAGGTGCGACAGTTTGTAGGTGGACAGGATGACAATTTTCTATTTACCAATAAACTGTATTTCGTCCAATGAACATGTCGAGATGGCCGAGTTGGTCTAAGGCGCTGGATTAAGGTTCCAGTCCGAAAGGGCGTGGGTTCAAATCCCACTCTCGACAGTTTTCTTTGCCTGGAGTTGTGGGTTAGGGAAAGGGTTTTAATATCTTTATCCAGATGATCAGGATCCAGGACATGACAGGCGCGGCCTGGTGAGCTTGTGACGTGCCACTGCCGAGCCAAGCCCAATGTCACTTTGCGCTGAGCTTGTTCCGCCGACACCCAGACCGAACCAGTATGGCTGACACCAGCCGAACCAGAACTCCCTGGAGTCTCCGAAGGTGGTTCGGGATTCAAGATGTGGAGTTGGAGCACACAATTGGATCCCACTTGAAAGTGGTGTGCTCACTTGGTCTCTGCTGGGTTGGCTCACAAGTACTAGCTGCTTTCTAGTTATTTTGCCTCACTAGGGGTGCACTGGTGCTAGTGGCTGAAGCGATTCTTGAGGATTCTAGTGTCTAATTCCTCGCTAGTTTTGTTCCCTCTCGATACTGGCTGCTACCGCATTGGCTGGAGGCTTCTCACGGTCTAGATTCCTTATTATATTGCCAATATTGCGGACCTTCTAGGCTAGCTCACTCGTTTCCTTCCGATGGCGAGTCAGCCATTGCAAGGAGCGGATCCCGCCGCTGCAGCCGCTAGTGCTGCTCCACCGCAGCATGTCGCTCATGCTGCTCCGCCGCAGCATCAGGGGGGAGCGCAGGCGCAACAAGCCGCTGGTTACCAGCATGCAATGCACGTGATGCAGATGCAGGGACACGTGGCGAACGCTGGTGCAATGCCGCAGGGATACCCTCAACAGGTGAGGGATAGTCAACGCGTTTAAGGCTTAATTTCTCCGAAAGTAGTGAGATTGATGCCGCTTTTCAGGATATTAAATTAATAGCTTAATCCAAGTGAAAACACTTTTTTTTTTCTTCTTGATCCCCGATAACTGCTCGAATAATCTTTCGTTGAATAAGTCGATCATTTCTCGGATGCCGAGCGAGACTGTTCCGCGTTATGGTCGCAATCGCAATCCGCGATAGGAACTCCTTCGCTGACCTGGTTCACCTGAATCGAGTCATCTGGTCATGATCGATCTCCCTCCTCTGGTCATCTGATTTCTTTCTCCTGGTGCCCCCTCCTGGTTCCTGAATTTGCAGGGTATTTTTTAGAATTCTCAAAAATACCCTGCTGGTTCACCTGAATCGAGTCATCTGGTCATGATCAATCCCCCTCCTCTGGTCATCTGATTTCTTTCTCCTGGTGCCCCCTCCTGGTTCCTGAATTTGCAGGGTATTTTTTAGAATTCTCAAAAATACCCTGCTGGTTCACCTGAATCGAGTCATCTGGTCATGATCAATCCCCCTCCTCTGATCATCTGATTTCTTTCTCCTGGTGCCCCCTCCTGGTGCCCCTCGTGATTCCCCCTCCTATTTCCCGCTCCTCAAACTGTTTCTTTTATGAATATTACTCTTTCGCATTGCAGGTGCCTGGGTCGTACCCGATGTACGCCATGGGTCCCATGGGGCCTGTTATGGTCAACCCTCAGATGTACGCGGCCTACATGCAGAACATGCAGAACATGCAGAACATGCAGCACATGCATCCCCAGTTCGCTGCTCAAGCTGCCGCCGCCGCCCAGAAATCCGGCGCAGCAGCAGCAGCGGCTGGTGCCCCGGAGGGAGGCTCGGCAGCAGGAGGCTCGGCAGGAGCAGGCTCGGCAGCAGCCGGTGGGGGGATTGACGCGTTTGCGAGTCTGCTTGGTAGCACGGATCGTGCTATGCTGGCTAAAGCAGGGGAGGCTGCCGCCCAGAAGATGCATGCTAAGGGCGGTAAGGGCCAGGGGGAGGAGGGCCATGGTGCGATGGGAGAAACCATGCAGCATCAGCAGCAACATCAGCAGCAGCAGCCGCAACAGCAGGGAGGAGGTCAGCCTCTCTCACCTGGCGCCAAACCCCATTCAGCCGCACCAGCAGCAGCAGTGCCACCAGCAGCAGGCATGCCTGCAGGGATGCCCCAAGGAATGCCCCAAGGAATGCCCCAAGGAATGCCCCAAGGAATGCCGCAGTACCCGCACTACGCCTACTATCCTGGCGCAGTATCCTGGTGGCCCCAAGGTGCCGCCCCAGGGGCCGTGCCTGGCGCTGCTCCTGGCGCAATCCCAGCAGGTGCTCCAGGTGCTGCTTCAGGTGGAACTCCAGGTGCAATCCCAGGTGCCGGCCCAGGTGTTGCTTCAGGTGGAACAGCAGGAGCGGTGTCAGGAGCAGTGCCAGGCGAAGGAGGAGGAGAGAGCGGTGGAGCTAAGGTTGCAGCAGCACCGCCAGATGCGCCAGCAGCTAAGGTGCCGGCTGCTGCGCCTGCAGTGGTGGCCCCTCAGCCGAGGAATCTTGCTGCCCTATTCCGCTGTCGCTGTTTGGTGAGGAGGAGGAGGCAGAGGAGGTGGAGGAGGAGGAGAGTAAGCAGGAGGGAGAAATAGCGCCGCCTGTTGCTTCTGCTGCTGATGGTGTAGCCGCACCTGGACCAGCCGTGGCGGAATCGGCAGCAGCAGCATCGTCACTTGAAGCTGATAATGACGATGACGATGATGACTTCGGAGATTTCTCGTCGGTACCGTCTGCTAGTGTGGTCTCTGCCACTTCTGCGGATTCCGCTGCCTCCACTGCCGCTGCTACCACCACCGCGCCCCACTGCTGCCGACTTTGCCCCTACTGGTGCTCCAGTGGACTCAGGAGCAGCTGCTGCATCTGCAGCTTCAGCTGCTGCTGTGCCTCCAGCAGAGGAGGACGAGGACGACTGGGGGGATTTCTCAGAGTCATCAACACCTGCGCCTGCTGCAGCAGCACCTCCCCAGGCTGCACCTCCCCCTGCTGTGCCTCCCGCCTCTGCCTCAGCTGCTGTGCACCAGCCGGCGCCTGTTCCATCCCCCGCGTCCTTCCTTGGGCCCATATCCCTGGCTGCTTTCCAAACCACAGCACCAGCACCAGCACCAGCAGCACCAGCAGCGGTGGAAGCAGCAGCTGTACCAGCAGCAGAGGCAGAAGCAGCAGCAGTGGCAGCAGTAGCTGCAGCAGCGGTACCAGCAGGCATGGCATTTGACCCTGACGACGACTTTGGTGACTTCTCCTCCTCCGCCTTCGGTTCAGCCGCCCCTGCAGCAGCAGCGCCAGTACCAGCAGCAGGCATGGGACCTGGTCCTGATGACGACGATGACGACTTTGGGGACTTCTCCTCCTCCTCCCAAGCAGTCTCCTCGTCTATCTTCGCCCCCGCAGCTACGGGGTCCTTAGCTCCGTCCAGTGACTCCAAGCCCCACATTCCATCTCCGGGCTTTGGAGCCTTCGCTCCCCCTCCTGGCACCGCCGCTGACGCTGCCCCTGCTGCTTCTGGTGCTGCTTCAGCAGGAATTCTTACCAGCGTAGACCCCGCTGCTGATTCTGGCCAAACGATGGCACCAAGCAAAGAGATTTCCTTTGATGATGACGATGATGATGACTTTGGGGATTTCGCAGGAACCACTGCAGCTGGAGGAGCTGTGGATGCTGCCAGTCTAGCCACCACTGCGGGTACGCTTTCCTTTTCCCCTGATTTTGTGGGGGTGGACCTCAGCAGCACCACGGTTACCCCTGAGCCGTCCATCCGCTTGGATGGGTCAGATGCAGCGAATCCAGTCCTCGTGCCGAGCAATTCTGTGGCAGCAGCAGCAGAGGCAGCAGCGCTAGCAGCAGCAATGTCAGAGAATCATGCTCCTGCTGCTGCTGCTACTGACGGGGGGGCTGCTGGCGTTGCTGCTGCTGGTCCTATTCCGCTCTCGCTCTTCGGTGATGACGTGGCAGATGCTGAGCTGGAGAACGCTGAGCTGTCACTTGGGCAGTTCCCGTCCGCTGGCAGCAAGCCAGCAGCAGAGCATGCAACAGGCGTGGGTGCAGGCCAGGAGCCATCTGCTTCTGCCGCTGCCGGTACCGCTGCCTCTGGTGCTGCTGCTGGTAGTGCCAAGTCAGGGAACCTTATGGACTTGCTCTCGTCTCTCTATGGCAGCTCTGCGACGAGCTCTGCGGGGGGTGCAGGAGGCGCAGGAGGAGCATCAGGAGCAGCAGGGGGGCGGCAGTCGGGGGAGCAGGAGCAGGAGGGAGGCTGGAAGGGGGCCGGCTGGGGCAAACTTTCTCAACTGGTCGGGTGCCTTTGGCTATGGCGTCTGCAGCAGGATACGGGGGTCTGTTCGGGCTGCTGTCCCCAGGGACGCCACCTGCGGATGTGCCTCTAAGGGGGTCGGTTAGTGAGCAGGTGCGGCAGAGGGGGCGGGGAGGGGGGGCGGGGGGATTGCTGGCGCAGGCAGGGGAAGGCGTGGGGGGAGGATTGGGGGGGGAAGAGGGGGAAGGTGGGAGCGGGCTGGTGGGCGGCACAGGTTTGTCCTTTGCTGCAATTGACGGCGATGGTACTGGTGCCGGTGGTGCTAGTGGGGATGCTGCTGCTGCAGCAGCTGCTGCTGCAGCAGCTGCTGCTGCTAGTGCTGCAGGTTTATCTGGTGCAGGTTCTTCTGCTCCAAATGCGTCCTACCGCAGCAGCGGCCTCCCAGGGGGCGGCCTACAGGGCCTGGCCACAGACCAAACCCTCCCCATAGTCAGCTCCCAACTGGGGGAGGGCGTATTCAGCGAAAGCATTGCTGCAGCCCTGGCTTCCGTCCTCCAGCCGACCGTAGTCCGCCTGCCCAGCTCAGTCTCCCAGGAGCGGTGGGAGCAGACACTAAGGGAGTTAGCTGAGGGGGCGGAGAGTGTGGAGAGGAACGAGTTTGGGCGCCTGACGGGGGAGCTGGTGAGGGAGGGGCGGATGGAGGAGGCTTATGCGTGCCGGCTGCACGCTGCTGCGTTCCAGCTGCTGCCCGACTGCCAGACGCAGTATTCCATGGCGCTGGGGGATGGACGGGTGGAGGCTGCTGCTGCTGTGAGAGAGGATATGAAGGTCAGTGCTCTCTCGTGTTCATTCATGCTCATCCATGAGATTTAAACCCGGCTGCGTTCCAGCTGCTGCCCGACTGCCAGACGCGATACTCCATGGCGCTGGGGGATGGGTGGGTGGAGGCCGCTGCTGCCGTCAGAGAGGATATGAAGGTAAGAATCAGTGCTCTCCCGTGCTCTCTCATGCTCTCGCGGGCTCTCCCGTGCTCTCTCATGCTCTCGCGGGCTCTCCCGTGCTCTCTCATGCTCTCGCGGGCTCTCCCGTGCTCTCTCATGCTCTCGCGGGCTCTCCCGTGCTCTCTCATGCTCTCGCGGGCTCTCCCGTGCTCTCTCATGCTCTCGCGGGCTCTCCCGTGCTCTCTCATGCTCTCGCGGGCTCTCTCGTGCTCTCTCATGCTCTCGCGGGCTCTCCCGTGCTCTCTCATGCTCTCGCGGGCTCTCCCGTGCCCTCTCATGCTCTCGCGGGCTCTCCCGTGCTCTCATGCTCTCGCCGGCTCTCCCGTGCTCTCTCATGCTCTCGCGGGCTCTCCCGTGCTCTCTCATGCTCTCGCGGGCTCTCTTGTGCTCTCTCATGCTCTCGCGGGCTCTCCCGTGCTCTCTCTTACTCTCGCGCGCTCACACATGGTACTTACAACCTCTTCGCCATCTCCTCTCCTGGTAAGCATAGAGCTTTTCTAAGGTGTCACGTTTCTGAGGGAGTGAGGGAATGAGACTCATCACAGCGTGAGGAGTCTATTTTTGAGGCGCCTATTTTTGAGGCGCCTCAAAAATAAGCATAGAGCTTTTCTAAGGTGTCACTGAGGGAGTGAGGGAATGAGACTGATCACACCATGTTAATGACAAAGTCTACACGGAGACTGTGCATGTCCTGGTGGTTTTTGAATCAACTCAAGAGCTGGCATGGAGACGGTGCATGTCCTGGTGGCTCCAGCTAGCACTCGGCATCACCTCATCTCTCGATCCGTCTGCCCCTCTGTCACAGTACCTCCTATCCCTTTCTTGCGCCTGCAGTGGATGGAGACTGTTTTGGGCGAATTCGAGACAATTTTATAAATCCTAAAAAGTTTTCCTCTCTGTTTCCCTGTTGTGCTTGCAGCGGATGGAGAGTGTTCTGGGCTGATTCGATTCACTTATTTCAAATTCTATAAAATCACCCTCTTCATTGCTCCGTTGTGCTTGCAGCGAATGGAGACAGTTCTGGGCAGTCCTGCAGCCGTGGAAGGGTGGAGGGAGAGGAAAGAACCTTCAGCAGCAGCACATACTGTAACAACGGACCAGGAGGATGGAGGCAAAGCAACGAAAGAGGGTGGCACAGCGGAGAAAGAGGCATCAACGGAAGGGATGGACGACGGCACGGCAGGAACTGAGCCTGGATTGGAAGGGACAGCTGGCGTCGCAGCAAACTCCGAGGAAGGTGAGGGAGTGGATGACTGACGCTTGATCTTGAGAATTCCCTAGCATCCTCTTCTTTCAAGAATTGCCAAGCATCTTCGTATTTTGAGAATCTTAAAACGGTTCACTCTGTTGGCCCTGTTGACCCTGTCTGCTACAGCTGGAGCAGCACCTGCTACAGCCAAAGTGGCTGAAGGGGCAGCGGACAGCAAGCCTAAGAGGGACGTGGCGTCCCTGCGGTGGGACGAGCGGTCGGTGGGAGATATGGGGGAGCTGCTGGGGCGCAGTGCAGGGGACGCCAGGGCGGCTGCTTTTGAGGCGGAGTTTAAGCAGCAGGAGATCTGCGATCTGGTGAGTGCTGCTGACGGTGAACGACCAGAAGGGAATGCTGAGAACGTAAGTGCTGGACGAGCCAAACTAGGGGGTCAGTGGTCAGACGGAGAGTCTGAGGAGGGACGTGGTGCTTCTGTGCTGCTGGGAGAGCTGCTGGGGTGCAGCTCAGGGGACGCCAGAGCGGCTGCCTTTGAGGCAGAGTTCAAGCAGCAGGAAATGTGGGATCTGGTGAGTGCTGCGATTGCACGCAGGGGACTGGATGGGGCATTGGTGGGACCAACGGTTGTTGGGAGGTGACTTTTGAGTCGATTCAAAAGTCACCTTGTACCCAGGGGACTGGGTGGGCCATTGGTGGGACCAACGGTTGTTGGGCAGGCAGCATGGGGGAGAGAGCGCAGGGGACGCCAGGACTGCTGCTTTTGACTCCGAGTTCAAAGGAGCACCAGCAGTCCTGCTGTGAGGTCCTGGGCAGCACTAACTGACTCCCTGCTCACACCCCCCCCCCCCCCCCCCCCCCCCTCAGGCCGCCAAGGACCTCACAGCAGCGCTGCTGGTGCACATAAGAGCTGTCTTCGGGTTCAACGTATACCCAGCTTCGCCCCATAGCCATCCCAATCCTTTCTGCTCTGTTGTCCCCTCCCCCCCAAGGCCGCCAAGGACCTCACAGCAGCGCTGCTGGTGCACCGAAGAGCTGTCTTCTGGTTCAACGTGCTCTCGGCAGTTTCTGCAGCTGAGGCAGCGTCGTACGTCCGGTTGTGGGGGGCTGTGGCAGCGCGGTGTGCCGATGTGTTGGAGGCAGCAGTGGGGGTGAAGGAGAAGGCTGAGGCGGATGGGCCTGACACGCTCTCCGCCCTGCTTGCTGCACCCAAAGGTCAGTATCGGTATTGGGGAGACCCCTTTGAGTAGTGGCTCGGTGTGCTGATGTGTTGGAGGCAGCAGTACGTGTGACACGCTTTGTGCTCTGGTTGCTTGCTGCACCCAAAGGTCAATTTCGGGGTGAATTAGATAGTCTCTCATTTAGATAGTCATCCCCTTCACCTCCCTCACTCCCCTTCTTCCTCCTTCCTCTTCACATCCCCCACTCCTCCCCCCCTCAGCACGTGACTATTTTGCAGCCATCACCCAGACCTATGGTGTGCTTGTAGTCATCGCTGCCTGCGCCCAGCTGCACCGACCCTGGCTTGCGGTCAGGCTCGGCACAGGCTCGGCAGGACCGCCAGCAGGTTCGGGTGAACCTGGGAGCATGGCAGGGGGAGGTTCGGGGGAGGAGGTGCAAGGGGGAGGGGATGGGGAGGGGGATATACTGTGGGCACACTTGCTTAGGGGGCAGGCTGCATGGCAGAATGGAGGTTTGGAAACGGTGGCCAGTGAGGTGCTGCCACGTGTCATGCTGCCGTTGTCATGGTCTGACGTGGAGAAGGTGCTGGAAGGTGCTGAACTGGCAGCGGTGCAGCGGGCTGCTGAGCTGGCGCTGGAAGGCCGGCAGAAGCACATGGGGCTGGTGGGCGGGTCGGGGACTCTCCTTTGTGCACTCACTCGGCTCCCCATTTTTGCATTCACTTGTAAGTTGATTCATGAAAGAGTTCACCTGCTTGAAGAAAAAATTCCCATCAATTCATGTGCCTATTGGCTGGCACATTATTGAGTGAGCCTGTATGTATCATAGCCTGCTCAATTCCGAGACTCACCTCACACCGGTACTGGTGTAAGGAGTACTCATCCTCGTACCACCCACATTTCGTGTATTCCTATGCTTTCTTCCGTGTCTTACGCAGCGGTGGCAGCAGTGGAGTGGTACGGCCAGCGCTATTTGCTCCCAGTGGCCAATTTCTGGGCGAGCCACATCTCAAATGCGAGCCCCTTGATGCTTGTTGCTAGCTGAAACCAACTCCAAAGCAATGGGACTAAAACCAAGCTCTAACTTGATGCATTATTCTATGCACTGATTTCAACTACTCTCGCTTTATAAGAAATCTCACTAGCTGTGATATTTGACTTGTTGGCGAATTCTTGAAAGAAGAGGATGAATCCCCTCGTTTCCCCCTACACAATGCTTGAAAGAAGGGCACTTTTCATAGGAATCTCCTCGTTTCCCCCTACCACTGCGCCACTCCAGACCCTGCACTTGGTCGTTTGGGGCCCAGCCACCGTCTCTGGGGCGCGTCGAGAGCGCTACTTTCTAGTACTTGTCGACGACTACACGCGCTACACCACGGTGTTTCCCCTGGAGTGGAAGGCCGACGTGCTTGACGTTCTTATCCCGTGGGTCATAGTTGCACCCGTCCACCTTGGCCTCCCAGTGTTTCATCTCCACTCCGATCGTGGCGGCGAGTTTGCCTCCGGTCAGCTTGGTTGTTTCTGTCGTGCGGAGGGTATCACCCAGTCGTACACCCTGCCGGACTCCCCGCAGCAGAATGGGGTCGCTGAGCAACGCATCGGTTTGGTGATGGAGGTCGCTCGTACCTCCATGATCCATGTCAGTGCACCCCATTTTCTGTGGCCGTTCGTTGTTTGCTACGCCGCTCACCAGCTTAGCCTGTAGCTACACTCTCAGCGGCCGTAGGTTTCCCCGACCCTTCTTTGGACTCGGTTCCATGGTGACGCGTGTGCCATGTCTGGGGCTGCCTCGCTTACGTTCGTGCCTCTGGCACGGACAAGCTCACTGCCCGCGCTGTCCCCTGTGTCTTCCTTGGTTTCCCCCTTGACGTGTTTGACTGGCACTACTACCACCCGCCTTCTCACCGCTTCTTTCACTCGAGTGACATCATTTTTAAGGAGTCTGTCTCCTTTTACCAGTGCTTTCCCCATCGAGGTCTCTCGGTTTCCCCGCACAGGTTTCTGGTTCCCACTCCCTCGGTAGCCCCTGCTCCTCTCCCTCTCCATCCTGCCCCATCAGGTGTGTCTTACGTCACTCCCTTCCTGTCACTTGTCCCACTTGAGGAGTCGGCTGACTCAGGGGGTCCCGCTGCTTCAGTTTTGCCGCCTATCTCCGCCCCGTTGTCCCCTCCTCCGCCTCCGCCGCCGTCGCAGCAGCCTTCGCCTTCGCCGCCGTCGCAGCCGCAGCCGCAGCAGCTGCCAGGGTCCGTGAGTTCTGGGGGTGGGGGCGTATGGGAGGGTGCTAGTCCTGGTGTTACTATCGTGGCTTGTCCCAACGATCTCGGGGATGGCATCGGTGCTGGAGAGGGTTCTCGTTCTAGGGTTGTTGGTTCTGGGGGTGCTAGTCATGGGGTTACTGTTGTGACTTGTCCCGGTGGTCTCGGTGGTGGCCCCGGTGCTGGAGAGGGTTCTTGTTGGGGGTGTTGGCGTGGAGTGTCCTGGAGGTAGCGGTGGTGAAGCTCGAGGTTCTGGTGTCGGCGTGGAGCAGCAGTAGCAGAAGCCGCAGTCGCCACCGGTGTCCGCCCTTCGCCTCCTCGGCCTTCCCTCCCCTGACCACCTGCCCGTGCCTCCCCCGCCGCCGCCTCCCCTGCCTGTCCACGGCCCTGTCTTTCCTCTGCTCTCGATCTCCTCCTATGTCTCCTCCCCTGTCTCCTGACCCGACGCCTCCGTCTCACGTCTCGTCTCGCCGTCCCTCCGGTGCTCGTCTTGTCTCCCCTGTTCAGCGCTCCCACCCTATGTTGCTTTGTTCCCACGCGTCTTGTCCTCCCCTCCTCCCGTCGCCTCCTCCGTCATCACTTGTTGTCGCTCCGCCTCCTCTGCCTGACTTCCTTTGTGCCGCTAGCCCCCTTGTTCCCGAGTCCTTGCCTCCCTTCTTACCGACCCGTCTGTTCCTGTCTCGAGTCTTGACGCGCTTGTCGCTGCCGTCGCTGACTTTGCCTCTACCCACCGCCCTGACTACGCCACCGCTTTGGTCTCTGACCCTGCTCGTCCTACGTCCGTCGAGGGTGCTCCTACCCTTGGAAGTAACGTCCAACAGTACGAGCTTACTTTCTGCCCGAGGTCGGGCCTCATCTCTGCTCCATGCTGTTAGTCCCTAAGGGGGACCCATGCGTCTTTGACATCCCGACCCCTCGCACCTACGCTGAGGCGACCTCGGGAGTCTGGGCCTCTCAGTGGATAGCTGCCATGGAGCCGGAGATGGCATCTTGGAGATCCACGGGCACCTACGCCAACGCAGCTCCTCCACCTGGGGTGAACGTAGTCGATGGCCGGTGGCTTTTCAAGGTGAAGCGCCCTTCTGAAGAGCCGCCGGTGTTCAAGGCGCGCTACCTGGCTAGAGGCTTCAGTCTGCGCGAGGGTGTTGACTTCTTCCAGACCTTCGTCTCGACCCCAAAGATGACTATACTTCGGGCGCTGCTACACGTTGTTGAATAGCGTGACTACGAGCTGCACTCTCTCGACTTCTCGACGGCGTTTCTTCAGGGCAGTCTGCACGAGCAGGTCTACATGCGTCGCCCGCCACGATTCACCAGCCCCTTCGCCCTAGGGACCCAGTGGCTCCTCCGGCGCCTGGTTTACGGCCTGCGGCAGGCGCCGCATGAGTGGCACGACATGCTGCGCGCTACGTTCGCTGACCTGCAATTCTTCCCGTTGTCTGCAGACCCTTCGCTCTTCGTTCATGCTAACCAGAAGCCGTTCTACATCCTTCTCTACGGAAACAACCTGGTCATTGCTACTGCACACAGAGACGCACTGGCCTCCGTGAAGGCTGAGCTGCTGAGGAGACACACCTGCACTGACCTAGGAGAGCTGCGCTGCTACCTTGGGAGATCTCCGGGGACAGAGCAGTGCGCACCATCCCTCTGATACAGTCACACTTGGTGCGCCAGGTCACGCTTGGTGATTCAAAGGCTCGTTCTTCAGTTCTCCTCCGCACAGCCCACACCTCTGCCAGTAGATTACAGGCTCTCGGCTCCTGTTCCTGAGGAGTCAGTAGAGCCTAGTGGTCCTTACGCAGAGCTGGTGGGTTACCTTATGTACCTGATGACTTGCACTCGTTCTGATCTCGCATACACTCTCAGCATCCTGGCTCGCTTTGTGGCCATAGGCCGACACCAACCACAGCACTGGTCGGCCGCTAAGTGGGTTTTGCATTATCTAGCAAGTACATCGGGCATGGGGCTAGTGCTAGGAGGACACACGCTAGGTAGGTGCGTACGCTTAGAGGGTACAACCCCTTAGACAAAACCAACATATTTGCATCATTCTAATCATTCATTCTAACTTTGATATGGTATCACGCTAGGTTAGGTCTCCCCCGCCCACCCCCGCTTCCGCCTTAGGCCTAGTCCTAGCCGCCCCTTAGCGCCCCGCTGGCCCTGTACGCCCCGCTGGCCCCTTAGAGCCCCGCTGGCCCCGTTCGTGCCTCACAAGCCCCGTTCGCGCCTCTCTAGCCCCGTCGAGCCCCGCTAGCCCCGTGCCGCCCGCCGGCCCCGTCCGCCCCGCTGGCCTCGTTCGCCCCGCTGGCACCGTGCGTACCCCGCTAGCCCCCTCGCGCCCCTCTAGCCCTGTGAGCTCAGCTGGCCCCGTACGCGCCTCCGGTTCCGGGCGCCCCACTGGCCCTGTTGAGGGCAGATCAAAGCACATCCAGCCGCGGTACTTCCTCCCGCGCGAGCTGCAGCAGCGCCGCCAGGCCCGCGTAGTACACTTGGCCTAAGGTGGCAACACAATTGGTATCTTTACGAAGGCGCTTGCGCCTAAAGATCATCAGCGGCACTGTGTACAGCTTGGTCTAGTTCCTTTAGCTTCTCACTTGCTAGGACCTTGATGGTGTACTACTTTTATATTATCTTGACTGGCCTTGTGACCCTTGTCCAATTGGCTGGACTAGTAGTGCCGCCCTGGATTGCTCTTGTTTAGTTTGTACTATTGCTGACTGGTCTTCGGACCCCTGCCTCAGAGGTTGGACTAGTAGTGCCACCCTGAGCTGTGTGCCTCTTGCCAGGCATTGCTGTCGTGGCACTGGGATAACCTTGTCGATCCTCTCTCTCTCTCTCTCTCTCTCTCTCTCTCTCTCTCTCTCTCTCTCTCTCTCTCTCTCTCTCTCTCTCTCTCTCTCTCTCTCTCTCTCTCTCTCTCTCTCTCTCTTTCTCTCTCTAGGGAGGGTACTGAGGAGGCTTTCCTCCAGGAAGGTGGATATACGGAGCCTAACCCTCTTGATGGCATCTGAGCTCACTTCCCTGAGCTCACTTCCCTAAGGTGAGCTCACTACCCTGAGCTCAATTCCCTGAGCTCACTTCTCTGAGCTCACTTCCCTGAGCTCCATTTGCTGAGGTGTGCTCACTTCTCCGAGCTCACTTCCATGAGCTCACTTCTCTGAGCTCACTTCCCTGAGCTTACTTTCTGAGATGAGCTCACTTCCCTGAGCTCACTTCCCTAAGCTCACTTCTCTATGCTTTCTTCTTTGAGCTCACTTCCTTGAGGTGAGCTCACTTCTCTAAGCTCACTTCCCTGGGCTCACTACCCTGAGGTGAGCTCACTTCCCTAAGCTCACTTCCCTGAGCTCACTTCTCTGAGCTCACTTCACTAAGGTGAGCTTACTTCCCTGAGCTCAATTCCCTAAGATCCCAGTGGTTAGGGCTGGTGACTTTATGACTACTGCCCCTCATCTAGCCTAGGGGGTGTGTCAAACATTTTTTGTACGTCTTATAGACTAGATAGGTGGGTATAACCCCTTAGACAAAACCAACCTGTTTGCATCATTCTAGTCATCCATTCTAACTTTGATAGTCCTATGTTGGGGATATAGCAGTCGAGAGAAGCAAGTGAGGGGAATCGGAAATAGGTGAGTGAGAAGGAAGTGAGGGAAGCGGGTGAGGACAGCACATTAGACCAGCAGGTGAGGAAGCAGGTACCGTAAGATAGAGTTGTGAGAAGCAGGTGAGAGGCGACGAAACCAAGCAAGAAGGCACGTTCTGTTAAAAGGCTAGCTTAGCTAGAAAGCTAGGAAAGGCGTGAGGTTTAGCTAGGAGGAGCCATGGAGTGGCGTGAGGTTTAGGAAGGAGAAAAGTTGAGGAAAGAAAAGGAGTTGGAATAGAAAGAGAGAGGCATACAAGGAGGGGATTGTACCCTCTACAGTAAAGTTCGGTAACCTACCAAGCCTAACAATTATATAACTCAATATATAATTTTAACACACCCCCTAAGCTTGGTAGTCACAAGCCCACACACACCCCCACACCCCCTAACCTAGCACCCCCATTCCCATCAGCCACAACGACTCCATGAGGGCCCACAAGGCCTTGGAGATGGTGACGGCGGCAGTCTCGGCCGCGGCGACAGCGACGGCGACGACGGGCGTGCGGCGGCAAAAGGCCTGCAACGACGACAACGGCGACGGCGACGGCTTCGGTTTACGACGGCGGTGAGTGCAGCGCCCCCCGCCCTTCCGGCGGGGTGTCCAAACTCCGCGACAGGGGGACGACCGGCGAGAGTCAGGCGGCGGCTGTGGTGAAGAGGAGGGGACAGAGGAAAGGGGGAAGGGGCGGGGCTTCGGATCTTCAGCGCGGCGCCACAGGCGTTGCGCGGCCGGCTGGCATGCGGGTGGGCAGTTTAGCGGCGCCACAGGCGTCGCGCGGCCGGTTGCAGCCCGACGCCGCCGTCACAGAGCGGCGTCGACGCTGCTGTGGGACGTCGACGCTACGACGGCAGCACGGCGGCCTGACGCCACGGCAGCGCGTCGAGACGGCAGCGGCACGACGCGGCCAGCGGCATCACGACGCCGCCACTGCAGCACAACGCAGCCACCATGGCCGCGCGAGCGAACGAGGGCAAGGAGTACGCGGCGGAAGCGTGAGGAGGCGGTACAGCAGGGAGGAACTCCTGCTCTAGTACCATGTTAAAAGGCTAGCTTATCTAGGAATCTAGGAAAGGCGTGAGGTTTAGCTAGGAGGAGCCATGGAGTGGCGTGAGGTTTAGGAAGGATAAAAGTTGAGGAGAGAAAAGGAGTTGGAATAGAAAGAGAGAGGCATACGAGGGGATTGTACCCTCTACAGTAAAGTTCGGTAACCTAGCAAGCTTAACAATTATATAACTCAATATATAATTTTAACACGTTCTTGCATAGCCAAGGTTTGTTTTGAAGCACCCTTTTGAACCTGGGTGGCCCTGTGCCCCCACCCACCGACCCTGCCCGATATGTGTATGCACATACGGTAACTGGAACATGGCTGGTTCAGAAATGAGGCACAAACACACCGAAGTGTTCCTTTCCCCAGCATTCACTAAGAGCGTGACCTACACCTCTTATCGGGCATGCTTCTTATCAGACGTGTGCGGTACTGTGGAATGCAATTTTGATGCAAGCTGGTTTCGTGCTGTTCGGAACGGAGCAACACAAGCCTGAAAAGAGGTATGTCAGGTGGTCCTAGGTCTTAGAAACTTGGGACTAAAGGTTCTTAAACTTAGGAGGCTAGGTTGGCTAGGATACTAGGAAGAAGACCGCCATGGAATGGCGTGAGGAAAAACGGATCTAGGAGGTGAGAGGATGTCGAGAAGAAAGGGCGTTGGATTAGGAAGAGAGGGGAGTACAAGGAGGGGTTTGTACCCCCTACAGAAAGGTTCAGTAACAACCTACCAAGCCTATATTAAATTATAACTTATATAATTTTAACACACCCCCTAGGCTTGGTAGTGTCAAGCCCACGCACACCCCCACACCCACACCCACACCCACACCCCCTAGCCCAGCACCCCCATTCCCAGCAGGAGCCGCAACGACTCCGGAAGAGGGTAGGTCTCACGGCCCCTTGAGACGGCAATGGCGGCAGCAGCGACAGTGACGACGGCGGCGGCGGCGGCGGTGTGCGGCGGCTCCAGGCCTGCGGCAACAGCGGCGGCGCCGGCGGCTCGAACGACAGAGGCTGGTGCGGCGGCCCCCGCCCTCTCGGCGGCATGTCCTGTCTCCTCGGCGGTGGAGAGGTCCCTCACATGGCAGTCATCGGCTGCAGCAAGAAAGGGGGGGATGCAGGGGAAGCAGGTGCAGGTGGGGGGGGGGGAGGGGAGGGGGCGGGGCGAGGCGAGTCTTCAGCGACGCGCCATAAGTGGCGCGGCGCTTACTGGCAGGAGGGCGGGCAGGTGGCGGTTACGACGGCGTGCTGCCCGCTGCCGCCCATCCACGCTGCCGCGGCGGCATGACGACGCCGCCAGGGCGCGGCGTCGACGCTGTGGCGGCACGCCGACGCTGCAACGGCAGCAAGGTGACGCTGCCACGGCAAAGCGTCGACGCAACCGGCTGCGGCCCGACGGCGCCGTCGACGCTGCAGCAGGACGTCGACGTCGCGACGGCAGAGGCAGCGTCGATGCCGCAGCGGGACGTCGACGCTGCGACTGCAGAACGACGGCCCGACGCCACGGCAGCGCGTCGAGCCGGTCGCGGCACGACGCGGCCAGTGGCAGCGCGACGTCGCCACTGCAGCAAAACGCGGCCGCCATGGCCGCTCGAGCTAGTGAGAGCGAGGAGTAAATTGCGGAAGCGTGAGGAGGCGATCCAACAGGGAGGATCTCCTGCTCTGATACCATCTTAGAAACTTGGGACTAAAGGTTCTTAAACTTAGGAGGCTAGGTTGGCTAGGATACTAGGAAGAAGACCGCCATGGAATGGCGTGAGGAAAAACGGATCTAGGAGGTGAGAGGATGTCGAGAAGAAAGGGCGTTGGATTAGGAAGAGAGGGGAGTACAAGGAGGGGTTTGTACCCCCTACAGAAAGGTTCAGTAACAACCTACCAAGCCTATATTAAATTATAACTTATATAATTTTAACAGTAGGAACATGCACTATGTGGTCAATCACCGTACTTTAAATACCTAGATACTCGCGTGGCACTCAATCATAAGTTCACAACCTTCATAAGAGTTCTGATAAAAAGGCGGTATCGTAGTCCAAATATCAAGCATTCTACATAGGCAACACGGTTTCAGTAAAAGCTTCAAGCTTTGAAGAGACCTAACGCCCGCTTCTACGATAAGGGCATGATTTTCAATAAGATAGCATAGCACATCCTAGACATGGGCAGCTTACTCCATCGTAAGCACCATAACGGGCTGTACAATCTCTCCAGTGAGATTCTCTCGGTACAGCTGCTCCAGGCTGGTCACTCCGAAGACTCCCAGCAGCTTCCACCCAGACAGCAGCAGCGGCATGCGAATGGGCCCGTAGATGCGATGCGCATTGTACAGAAGAGTGTCGTTGCCTACCGGCACTCCAAGGAAGAGCAGCCCCCCTGGCTTGAGCAAGCCCTTGATCTGGTGCAAAGCGCCAAGGAATGATGTTGCTGGTTGAGCAACTCCGTACACGATGCTTTCTCTATGGGAGAATCTGAGCCCACCAAAACAATTAGAAGGTAATGCGAGGCGAGTATTCAAGGCGCATCCTCTTGCTCACCTTTTGCATGCGGTCCAGATCACCATTGGGGTTCATGGGGTCGCCGTACCGCCCCAGCCCATCGTGCTCCAGTGATGAGAAAGAGACCGCCACGTCCCACGTGTCATTGATTTCCTCCAGTTCATCCACCAGCAGCTGCCGCAGCTTAGGATGAGACGCAATGGGCTTGTTGAAGTCAACGGTTGTGATGGTCGATGCATCAAATCCCAGGCAGATCGACTCCACCCAGGGTAACTGACTGCCAATAACGAGAACCTTCTTATCCTTTATGGAGTACTTGTCAAAGGCCTGGAAGAACGCGGTTGTGCAGTTGCGCCCATAGGAGCCGAATCTGGCCTTTCTGGCACGGGCGAAGCTGGCAAGACGGTCTATTTTCTCGTTAACCCACACGTAGGGCTTGGCGCCGGAGTCTAGTGCGTCCGTGTTGAAGAACAGATCTCGCACCTGCAGGGTGGAGGCGACGAAGTCAGTACATCATGCAGCTTGTGCCCACATACATTTCGTTTCCTGCTTTGCGTTTTCAAGTATTGGCTGGTCTTTGACGGCTTTGTGACTAAATGGATACGGGTTAAATGCGTTAGTACTAGTAGTACTGTGACGAAGGAATAGAAAACCTACCTGACTACTACAAGTATTCCGATGTATCGTAGTGAATACCTGTGCTTGTCTCACCAACCTGGATGCGGCCCCCCAGGGTGAACTCGTCGCGCACGTGTGCTCGGATCCACTCCCACGGCACAGGCCCAGGGAAGCCGTAGTTGCTGATGTGGAAGCGCGTTGCCTTGGGCACCGGCACCAGCGAATTTGCGCATTCAGAGCAGGCGGTTCCATCAACGTGATGATTCATATACGTCCAAAGTTGGCCTGCCAGGGGGGTTGTGGCGGGGAGCACCGTAGACGAATAGTTTATTCTATTGTGGATTGTGGAACTTCCAACGTGAAACATCGGTGTGCCGCACAAGATTGTTTCTCGTTGCTTTCAACGCTGCCGTGCATGTGAAAGTGTGAGCCAACCGCCGCTGGCTGATGCATACGACTCGATGTTGCCCGCTGCTTCTTACGGAAGTGAGGAGAGGCGACATGGATGACGATGGAGGCGGTAAAGAGTAACGCAGCCGCAACCAAGAAGGCAGATGCAGCTACGGGCTTCTTGTTCTCTCGATAAAGCGAGCCGAGACACGATTTTCCAGCCATCACTGCCCTCAACCTCTCTCGTGGTGGATGCTGCTCTTTGGTTGGGAGGTGCTTGGGGGTGGGAGATGGACTTGGAGCAAGATGTGTGGGAGTTGTTCCTGGCTGTGGCAGCCCGTACGATGATTTCAGATCCTGCTGTTGTAATGGCTACGAAAATGAGCAGAAATCGGCCCTGAGCGCGCGAAGCAAGCGAAATCTTCCCGCCAAGCCAAGTCAGGCCCTGGCAGTGTGCTTATATTGAAACACGGGCGCCTTTTTTAAAGAGAAAATATTATCTCGCCCCGTAGTCCGTTTAGCTGCCAGCTAAAATTCACACTTTCCCCATTTCGTGGCTTGGTTCTGATCGTAAAAAAAGCGGGGTGGAGGTCACGGGTATCGTATATGGCTCACCAACGGAGTAAACCAAATTTCGTCTTTGGAAAGCATGGGCGAACCCTTTTCAATTCCACGTGTCGCAAGGGCAATTAACCTCGGAGCGACTTGGGCAATACTGCGTGTACTGTACTCCAATTCTTCACAATTTACTACTTGCGAGCGTCCTTGACTCCACTTGTAGAGAGCTGAGGCTCGAGGAAGTTTGAGCAGGTCATGTCATGTACAGTACACCTGATTCCGCAAACCGACTTCCGCACGGAAAACCAGCGATGAATGTACCCAATCCCTTAATACACCTAGCCTGCGGTAATTTCATACCTAGTATTTTCACAGGGGGTGCCTCGAAGAGAGTATTCATCCCCCGAAAGCAAGTTCTGAAGACCAGAACCGGATACACTTGAAAAACAAATTTAGCTTGGATTTCTACACGAAACGTTTACTGTTCGGTTTAGTGTTTCTCGAGTCAGGAAACCCGACATCAGCTTTGGCATTGCTCAAAATTTGCCCGCGTGGAGTCTGGCGAGCGTAGGCCGTAGGAACAAGGGAGTACTGTCTACGCACTCAGAAATGGTCAGGGTGGAAACAAAATTTCTGCTGCAACCCAATTTCAGGGTGTGAAATCACCGCGGGCTAAGTGTATCCCCCTAGTGGACAGGCCCAAACGCTGTTTGGGGCTGGATACCCCGTCCAATGGGCATTGTATTATGCGACAAGGCTGTCTACCCTGCCGTGAGAAACAAGTGGCAGGGCATCCTCCCTGGTGTGAACTGCAAACTTCAGGTTGTTGCCGCCCACCTTTGGGTACAATCCCTTTTGCCCCTGGACAGAGAATACAGGCATTACGCTTCAATCTTTTGCGTGCGTGTAGATAGAGGTTGGGTGAATTTGAACTTGTACAGTTGTCATAACCGTCGTTTTCGCCAAATGGGTTGTCCTACCAGCGGACTAACTGTATGTCACTTAGCCTGTGAGACCAGAGGACTCTCACGGAAGACTGCAAACGACTCACTCCCCTGCCAAGCCTTCTGCCCGTAGCCCTCACAAGCAGGGCTTACGCTAAGGCCTAGCGGGTTACGGAAGGCGCTGAGTTGAGGCCTTGAAAGACCCGGAATTTTCCGGAATCCCAAAGAACTTCGCTCGGAATCCATCTGGATTCGCGAAAAACTAACCCTGCTATCCGGATCTCGATAGAAGTTATCCTGTGTGGAAATATGGTTCCTACACTCGTTCTGTTGCGGATCTTCTACTGTTATGCGCTACAAATGGAGAGTGCTGCATAAACTTTACCAAAGAACCACAATTTATTATCGATTCCAAACCCAACTACAACTAGCCTATGAGCCACTAGGTTCTTACAAACGAAACAGAGCTACCAAAAGCAAACCACCACGCATAAGTGCTATGGCTTCTACAAAATGAGGCACTCAAGCATCTAGGGCCGGCCTACGATCCTTTTTGGCGCTGAAGATGGCATGCACTTCTTCCCACTTGATGTCGAAATCCAGCATTTTCACAGTCATCAAATCACCCAGCTGTGCATCTGAAAGGCATGTCCTGTCCCATGACTTGATGATGTTTTGGCGGGAAAAGCCCCGCTCACACTCCACTGTGCTTAGGGGGAGTACAGAAACAGCACGCCACACATTTACAAGGCAGGGGTAGTTGGTCTCCCAATCCGATGTAGTAAGGATGTTGGACAGCCCCTGAAAAAAACCCTGGTTCTTGTAACGCCTTTCCAACAGTGCCGTGAAGAGGCGCTGCTCTTGCTTGCACACTTCCACATCGAAGCCTGGAGAAATCAAAGGGTGAGGATGGGTATGGAGGGGCTTCATTCATGATCCTGTAGTCATCACCTGCTGTGTAAAAGAGAATTGAAGTGGAAAACAACCAAGTATTCACCTGGAAGCTTGCCCCGGAACAACTCGCTGAGATGCTCAATGCACATGTTCATCTGTGCCTCTCTATCTGCAGCTCTGGCGGGGTACTGGCTTGGGATGAAGATGTTGGCACCGTCCAACATCCTCAGATTACCAAGACGCCTGTTGAGTGCCCTGATAAGCTGAGATGCATACTCTCTGCACAATGCAGAGCACGCATCCAAGTCATCTCCATAAGTTCCCCCAATCGGGTCCTCATGAAGATGGACACGGGCAAGGACAGGGTTTCCCTCGCTGTCCACGCCAGCCAGCTCAATCTCCCGCCACTTGTTGGGATCGCCATGGGCTGCCAAGAAAGGGGACAGCCTCTTGCTATTGTTGTCCCCAAAGATCGCCCTCGGCTCCACATAGCGATGTGAGAGCTTCAGCACCGTCACCTCCATCTCGTGCTTGGCAAGGGTGGGATCCACCTGTTCAGATTTAGGGGGGAATAATAATTTGTTGAGTAAGCATGTACATGTAGCCATCAAATCTTGCTGCACAACATGCTGAAAGGTCTAATCCATTGGGGCTGGGGTGTGGGGAACAATGGTGCTGAGGCAACACACAAGGGGCATGCTTATAAGGAATTATAGGAAAGCAATGGAGGTTAACAAGGCACTTACCCGACGCTTCTGGAATGCCATGTTGAGCTCGTTAAGCAGCTCCATGACATCAGTGAGGAAGTAGAGCATGAACTGCAATTTGAAAGAAGTCGCCAGTCGGAAGGTGGCGGGGTCATCGTTCCTCCACATCCACAGCAACACTGGAAACACAGCACAAAAACGCTTTAAGGCCAGACCGCGAGCTAGCCAACGAATGTCGTGAATGCCAGGCATCTCCATGTGCGTCTGCAGAAGCTCCTCCTGAAGGTCCATGAACTCGTTGCGCTTGTTGTTGGAACGAGAAAGCATCGTTGCAGTGCCACGCAGCGTTGTTTCAATGACATCAAAGTCACGCAGGTCCCTTCCCGCATCCTTCGCAGCAAGGGCCTCCCTGGAAGCAGCAAGGCAATGATGAAACAGTGAGATCAAATTAGGGATGTACTGTATGTCAAATATGATGCTACTGTGACTATGGCTGGAATTTCCAGAGATGCAACGTATCACATAGCATGAAGCTTACCGATGCCCAATGCAATGGATGGAAGCGAGCCAGGGGCATGGCTCCCTCAAGCGTGCCACCAGCCCTTGACGCTCACCGACCATTACAGATGCTCCATCTGTGGATATGGCCACACAATGCTCCAGTGGAATGCAGCGTGAATCAAGGCAGCTTAGCAAGGCCTTGAAGAGTGATGATGCATCACAGTTCACGACGCGAAGCAGGTCTAGGAACTCAGTTACGACCTCCCCATACTTCTCGTACGTGATGAAAACGATCAAGTGCTTCCCATGGGAGCGATCCGTTGACTCATCTACAGACAAGCCGTAGAAACGGCTTGCATGTATCTGGCGGCGCTGCTGGCCAGAAAGGTACTCAGCAAGGGCCTGCACAAACTCTCGGACCGCATACCTGCCAAGTTTAGAGAAGTTGGATAAGTTGCAGTAGACAACACAAAGCGGGCCTTGGCTAAACATAAGACAGAGCATGGGATATACAGTAAACAAAACGTGAGAGAAGCGAGAAAACATACTCAAGACTGCCAAAGACACACCGGCAGTACATAAGGCACTCACCATGAATGGTAGCGACCCTGAGCCTTGCTCTCACTCATGTCTGGCAGCCCCTCTTCAGCCAGAAACTTCGTGAGGACAGAGTAGAAAGTGAGTGGAGCGTCGTTACGGCAGACAAAGTAGGCCGTTTTTATGCACTTGATTGTCCTTCGAGTGGCAGCATCAGCATTCCCATAGTCCTCCATACGACGCTGGCGATTATCCTCACCGCTTGCGACTCGAGACTTGGCACACGCCAAGAGATGGGCCTTGGAATGTTGGTGGGAGCGGATGCTCGTGATTTGGAAATCACGAGCTCCAATGCCTTTCCTGCCATAACGGGTATATCCACAATCATCCCCCCACTTCACACACACATCGCATTTTAGCCCATACTTCTCGACCCCCTTGTCATATGCGAGTTGCAACCACGGAAACAACTTCTTCCACTGCTCGTTGAACTTCTTGGCCACAGCACGCTCAACCCAAGGGATGCTAGGATCTTCTGCCTCGTCTTGTGTTGTGGACGTCTCTGGTTCGGCTGTTTGGCGCCGCTTCCTCTGTCGCTCAGGAGGTGGTGGTGCCCAAGGAATGTGGGTCTGCTTGGTACAAGGGGTGCCGCTGGGCCGCACAGCACTAGTTGAGGGAGAAAACCTTGCAGCAGTACGGTTCGTCTCTGTAGAATGTGAAACTTGAACCGTGACGTCTTGCTCTGCTGCTAATCCTTCTAAGCCTTCGCTAAAATCAGGGGGGCCCTCAAGGAAAATCTCGAAATCGTACACTTGCTTGGGCGGAATATCAGGAGGGTCAGCCATGGTAAGCCTCGTGACGGAGATACTAGGATGCTTTTGCATGTTCTCTGATCGTCCTTTAATGCTCCAACTACTGAGATTTGGGGAATCAACAAAATTCACCATGTACATCGTGCTTGGTTCATGAGGAAGGTCCTATGGAGGGGAGGGATAGCGCTATGCAGCCTTGCTGAGTCAACAAAATCAGTTGACTCTATTGAGGGTGGTGTGGTGCGGCATCATGCGCGCTGCCTAAGCACGAAATTATATATGTCGTGCCTCAAGCCACATGCGAGAGGAATGGGATGTGTGCAAAATGGTGCGAACCTCGTCTCGATAGAGCACAAGCTCCGCGCATAGCTAGCTAGTGCTTGAGATGCAAGGAACGACGCCGTCGTGCTGCAAGG